ATGTGGCAACCGTCTTCGGTGGGTGCAGAGCAGCATCTAGTGGAGGAGCAGGGAAGTGACAGTGTCACAGGGACTTTTGGAAGCGTGAGCTTTAAAGGCTGGGGCAAAGTGAGCAGAGAAGCCAGGGAGGGGCCTGCCTGTGCTGGTGTCCCCAGGAGGGGAGGGGATGAGACAAGGTCACCTTAACAGGACCCAGGATGAGTCCGAACCCCAAGTGACAACGGATCAGGAGGCCCTCTCCTCCCGCCAGGCTTCGCTGCGAACTGGGTCTCCGGGTCTTGTGGACTCAGAGGCAATCTTCACCCTCTGCTCCACCTACCTGTGCCCAGCTCTGCTGCCAGCACCCCACAGCCCCAGCACTCAGGGGCCAGGGCTGTAAGGGCACAGCCAGGCCTGCGGAACCCCGACCTCAACTCCCTCTGACATCAGGTCCCTCAGTTTCTGGCTCTGCTGGTCTGTGCTGAGCAGGGACAGACACATGCTGTCCTCTACCCTTCTCCATCCTTCCTCTGCCTTCCCTCAGGCCTGCCCACCAGCCCTCCTCCCGCCTCCTTCCGTCACAAGAATTCAGAGCAAACCAGTCTTCTCCCTGGTGCTTGCCTCGCAGAGATGCTGCTGGAGCCTGCTCAGAGCTGAGGAGGATGGAGAAGTGGAGTGAGCACCAGGCCCACGGTGGACCCACGCCTGGAGGCCTCTCCTGCACCTTCATCATCATCATCATCGTCATTGTCATCATCATTATCAAGAGAAAAGCAAAGGGCCCGCTTTTCCTCAGAACGTTTGATGGAAATTCCTTTACTATATTTACCATTTCCAGTCAGGTTGAAGGACATAAAAAAGGCGAAGTATTGGTGTCCAGTGTGAATAATGTTCATATGGCTTTATAAAATACAGACAGGCAAATATAATTCTATTTGTTAGTGGAAAATAATGTTTTTAATCTGTCAAGTAGAAAATTTTACTAATAGAATAATTCCAAAGGACGAAGGAGCAGGGAGGTGACATTTATTAAGTACCCCCGATTTCTCCAAGCTCACCAGGGCCCGTCATTGCTCATCACCACCACTACCCACCTCAGGAGGGATGACTAGTCTCTATCTGGGAGGCAGAGGCTCGGAGAGGGAAAGCGACTTGCCCAGGGCCACACAGCCAGCGAGAGAGCCAGAGCCTAAACCTGGGTCCGTTCTACACAAATCGCCAAACTACCTCCCACTTTCTTTTTTTCTCTTATTTGCATTTGTCGTTTTTCTCCCCGTTCACTCCCACCATTGCTTATGTCCCCTCGTCTCTTTCCTTCCTCCTCCTTCTGAGCCTCAGCTCCCACAGGGTGTTTAGTGATGTCCGCTGGATTTTGAATGTTTCACATTATTGAATTGTCTGCTATGTAAATATCCAGTTTGTTTTTATCATTTTTATCAAAATGACCTACTTTACTACATAAAACTCTCTCTCAAATTCCCTCCATTTTGTTGAAAATGACTGCTTTCATCCTTTCTCGTGGCTGTATAATACTCCATGGTGTGGATAACCACATCTTGATCCAATCATCCAGCAAATGGACATTGAGGTAGCTTCCATGCCGCCCACTCCTAGAACTACAAAACAAATAAATCAGACAAAGGTCCTCTGTCCTGGGGGACCATTTGCAAAGCAAATCAGGTTTGAGGATCAGGGGAGATCCCATCCCAGGATTTTTTATGCACGTCCTGAGCTCCACAGCCTCTTCTGGGTCTTGAGAGCAACACTTGCTTGAGCTCCCATCATGTCCATGGTGCAGGCTGAGTCTGGGTTGATGAGCTGGTCCCAGATCCTGGTCCCCCTGAGGTCTGTGGCACCCATGGGTACAAGGAAAAGCAGATGCCACCCACTGCTCCAGGCAGGAGCGGAGACCCACCCCCCCCCCCAGATTAATATACAGACAAAGGAGGGAATGACAGAACACACTGTGTGTGGCCTGGCAGCTGAGAGCACCCCTCCTTGCCACCCCAGTGTGTGTGCTTGAGCCCCGCTCCACCTGCAGGCACTGCCCCCCTACCAGCTGTCTTTCCAGCCCACTCCCCCCGACCCTCACTCCCACTCTCCCTTTTAATCCACCATGGGGGAAATGCAGGAGGAAGCAGAACTCTCCAGGCCCTTAGCTGTCTTGGAATCTGCTGGAGTTGCCACCTCTGCATGTCCTTTGTCTCAGAACAAGCACAGCTCACCAGGTCCCCTGCTGCGTCCTGTCACAGTCCTTCCAAGCACCCTGCTGTGCTATGTGGATAGAAAACATCTTAATCCAGCCCTCTGTCAGCAGGCACTCATGCTTTTTCCATGTTCTAGTTGTGTTGCAGTCAACATCGCAGAACATAGAACTTTTGTTCTAGCTCCTCATCTACGGCTATTGTCTCCTTAGCCTCTTTGTTATTGATCTGTCCATGGTTGTAGGTAAGAGTGTTAAAATTCCCTAGTAGTATATATCCTTTTCATCTTTGCTTGCCAGTGAAGTTCCTTACCCTTCTCTTGTCCAGAATGATGGTCTTGTAAGATAAAGTATTCTAGACGGGAAATCTTTTTCTTTGATTACTTTAAATATCTCTTGCCAGTTCCTCTTGCTGGTGAGTTTTCCATTAAAAAGTCCCTGGGCAGTCTAGTAAGTGTTCCCTTATAGGAACATAAACGAACTTTTATCCCTATTTATTGTGGTTTTAATTTCAGGTTTCCAGGTCTAGTTCCCCAGCCAGACGCTGAGTCCTAACCAGCAGAGCACCGCGGGGGGTGGTGTCTGCCCCAAGCCACGGCAGCAACTTCACTGACTCTCAGGCAAGCAAGCGAAAGAGGTAAATTTGTTTAGAGAAATAGATATGAGGGAAAGCTTATTAAGGAGAAAAGAAGCAGAAATAAAGTGGGACTCCAGCCCCAATGGAGTCAGGCCTCAGAGAGTATCTATCTTCTTCCCCTAATTATTCTGAAGCCCCATCAGTCTCCTTGTGATGGTTCACTCGCGATGGTCTCACGCATTCTGCCTTAATGCTGCTGTGCCTCAATTACAGCTTACATCCCAGCCCTTAGCTTAGAGTCCTTTTTTCTTTATTGTCCTTGTCCAGGAATGTCCTGTTAGTCCTTCACTGATCTTAGTTCAGGGAGCGTCTGGTTAATTCCCTTTGGAATTTGCTGCACCTGTCTCTGGAGCCTCCCTTATTCCTCTGAGGCATTTCCTTATGCTATAATGACCCCAGAAACTACCCTCTTGCCTATGGCTCACTTGGAGAACATTTTAGGTTCTTCGGGTACCCCAGACTGGAATGTTTTGATATGAAATAAACATGCTTTGCCTTTTTAATTGCCACCTGAATTATTAGGGTTGGAGTTATTGGGAATGAGGAAGATGTTTAACCAAGTATCAGGACCAAAATAGCAAATAAAGGAGGTAGACACCTTTGCTCTTAGAAAATAAAGAGCTTCCAGTGAAATAGGATGGTTTCACTTATCGGAGGAATATAGTGAAACTGAACAAAGTGTCAGAAAAAAAGACAAAACTGGCAGGCAAACCATAGAGCTGAGGCGTACCGCAGGGGAGAGGGAGAGAGGATCAAAACAGGGGAGAGAAGAGCACAAGGGACTATGGCGATGGTTCATGGGTGATGTGGTGCTGGGAGATTTAGGGGGACTACACCTCAGGGGAGAAATCAAATATTGTACAAAAAAGAACAATGATGTAAGAAAATTAAAAAGTAAGAAAATAAAGAGCTTAGTTCATCCTAGCCCCCAGGATCTATTGGGGGGGGGGGGAATGGATGTCCTGAACAAACTCCACAAATAGGTCTTATGGACCCACCTTCACCCCAGACCAAAGAGATCCAAGACACCAAGGCAGGAGCAGTGGGCACAGTGGGCATGACAGGAGAGGTCCGCTGCACCATGTGTGTCAGTTCCCTGGAAGAGACAGGAGAGGTCTGCTGTACCATGTGGGTAACTCGCTGGCCGGGGATCGAACTCGCGCAGCAGTGGCTGCAGATAGCTTCATAGCACTGAGACTCAACCCCTTGCGCCACCAGGGAAGCCCCCCAAGACACCAAGGACTATACATTGGGGTTGCCCTGTGACAGATCCTGGGGTTCAGGCTCAGCCTCCCAACGCCCTCACCTGTACATCAGCCCCTCTCAACCCCAGGGGCAGAGAAGATCCAGTTGCTATAGGGGGACTCCTCTCCATGCAGCTGCAAATGGAGCATGTGTAACAGGGTGGTCCCCAGGAAAGGGGCAGGTTCCCTGCCCCACCCAAGGGAGGGTGGAGCTGAGCAGGAAGAGGAGAAGCTGCAGAAGAGACTGAGGAAGGAAGCAGGATGGAGCCAGGAGACCTGGAGGAGGCGCATGGAGCCTAGAGACACGTGAAGAAACTGTGCTTGTCTTTTGGTCATGGACTGGGTGACACAGATGTGGGTGAGACCCGTGGGGAGGTGACAATGGCGGCTTTTATCTTGATGTTGATTTTGCTCTTTTCCTTCCGGGCTTGTCTGGTTGTTTCTGACCCTTTTCTGTGGGTCCCCACTGGAAGATGCTTTAGACTTGTGGCAGGCTTTGGGGCCTTGTTCTGGGCCAATCCCATTTGGATGGACTTTTACCCACGAGGGGATGGGTAACTTTGGGTGCTTGATTTAGAAACTAGACTCTTTGCCTTACCTGTATTGTTTCCTAGTTTTATTAAAGTCCCTTCCCATTAAAGTCTCCTATGTTTTGTGTTGATGCGGCGGATGGCAGAACCCATTTAGAAAAGGCAGGTTTGCGGGGTTTGGGCTGCCCCTCTCCCTGCCCTATAACACATGGAGAGACCTCAACTTCGGGGCACCGGGAAATTCCTAGATGAGTCTGTCAGGGAAATCCAAAGGGACACAAAGTCCCACTTCCCAGTCTTTTTTCTGCTGGCAGCTTACACAAAAACAGAAACCGCAGACCAACAAATTCAGTTTCAGTTTCCATTCAGCCGAAACAGGGAAGACAGTCCGGGAAGGAAGAGCAAAGTGCCAGCCAGTCCTGCAGTCCCCTGGAGAAAGGCCGAAAGGTGAATGCTCACTTAAGAGGGCTGGGCAGACAGGACTTGTGGCGAGATGGAGGCCTCCCAGAGCCTGTATGAGACCCCCTCAGACTCTTTGGACACTTTTGTGGAGCAGAGCCTTCAGCCAAAGGGGGACTGGAAGGAGGAAGTGCAGGATGCTTGGCAGAGAATCTGTAAGTTCTTAAGGGATCACTGCTTCCAGGATGAGCCACTGCTGAGCTCGACCCGAGTGATAAAGATAGTCAAGGTAAGCACACAGGAGCCCCGGGGGCTGGACTCCCAGGTCTGCTGCTTGGGGCATGTACAACCTTGGGGAGGGGTCATTTCCTAAGTCATACCTCAGTCTCGACCTTTTTTGCTTGCTTGTTTTGTTTTTATGTATGTTTTTTCCCCCTTGACAGTCTCCTCCTCTTTATCCTGGATTGTTATAAGAAGTTAAAATGAGATGCAATGTGGGACAGTGCTTTTAAACAGTAAATCACTCCTCAAAGCTAAAGTTTGATAAACTGTTATCCCCATGATCTTAATTATTGCTGTGGTTAGAATTAGGTGCATGATTTGGGATCCAACTCTCGGAGAACCAGAGAGGCCAGTGAAATGTGGATAGCAGATCTCTAGAAAATTGATACTTTGTGTCTTATTTAAGAAAACCTACTTTCCATCACTCATAAAGATGATCACCTATCTTTTTCTTCTGAAATGACACTATTCCATTATAGTTATGTGCTATCAGAGGAATTTTGTGATAGCTGAGTATTTCCTCAGTGAAATGGGTTTTTAGAGAATGACCATGTAATTCAACACCCTTTTATAGCTTGATTTCACCTGGGAAAGGACTCACTTGTAATTCAAATCTGAATGTATCTAAACAACAGTGTCTTGACCACTTAGCATTAACGTTAGTAAATTAGGCATTTCCTGAGAATGGTAACAGCTCCCAAGGGTGAGACTGAAAAGGAAAGACATATCTCCTTAAAGAACCTTTAAGCATTCAAACCAAGGATCCAGGGTGCTCTCAACAAACCCAGAGCTTCAGAACAGAAACTCAACTTTGCACTTCTGGACTCTGACTTGTAAATATCTGAACTTCCTGGAGAAAGTGCATCTTATGCTTTCTGCTTTACAACTATGTTATCAGGCATCTTTGCTTCCAGGATCTAAAACCGAAAAAGGAAATTCCCATCAGCACCAGAAATGGGCTGAAAATGTTCCAGGCTACATAGAAATCAGAGGTCAAAATTACTTCATGATTTTGAATCACACACTTCGTCACAAAAACAAAGAAGAAAGTACCCCCAGAAACTGCAAAGTTACCATGCACCAAGAAGCACTATTCACATTTTAGTGTTAGGAGTTGGCGCCTCAACTCTGTCCGGGGTTCCTAAAGACCACACGGAGCCAGAAATGCAAAAGCAAAAAGGCTTTATTGCTAGCTTAAGCTAGGGCCCAACTCTGCCTGGAGGACTGACACAGCAGTCTCATCAGGTTGAGAGAGGGACCCCCTCCCAGAGCAACCAGCTGTTTTTGTACTTTGTTGACAGGATGCGGGGATTTTTCACACCTGGGGCAGGATCCACCCTGATTGGATAGCTCTCATGGTGCCAGCTAGGTTTCATTTACCCTTGGCTTGTGGTTTTTGCCCCAAAACGAAACTAGCTGTGCCCTTTTGAGATGACAGTTATCTCTCAAGATGGCTGCAGTCTTGCTCATCTTACATCAGTAGGCTATGATCACGTTTTATATGCTTACAAGTACTCAGAAAACATCTTCCTGTGCATTAATAAATACATTTATTTTCAAAGGGATTATAAGCTTCTGGTGGCAACCCAGATGGAGAAAGATGCTTGCAAATGGCCTCTCATGCAAAATACAACTAAAACTCTAGACAGACATCAGAGCAAGCGTTCACTCTGAAAAGTAAACAATCACAGGCCAATTGGGGACTGCAAAATCAAAACTGAAATTGTTACTGCTATTTCCCAGAGAAACGAGACGGCACTCGGAGAGGTGGAGAGAGAGGTTTATTTGTCACACTGGTGGGCCCAGTGGGATAGTTCCTAAAAGTCTGAGCCCCGAATTGCAGGCGTGGTAAGGTTTTACACAGTTTGTATGCAGAAGCTTGTCACCCCATCCATCATGGACTTTCTTTTTTGTTGGGGAAGGGGGTCAAGGCAGCCATGGCTACTGCTGTGGCAAGCAGCACACCCTGGGAACTTTCCGCTCCAGCAACAACAGAATCCCAGCAGCAGATTGAGCGACTTCTTGCTTCAAAATGACAAGCCGTAAGAGGGCGATTACAGCAGACAGACTATGAATCCATGCAAAACATGGGTGGTAGCAGAGGCATTGTGCTGAGGGTGGGGGGAGAAGTCAGCGTCAAAAGGTCACATACTGTATAATTCCACTTGGATAATTCTGGGAAAGACAAGATTATGGAGATGGAAAACAGACTTGTGTCTTCCAGGGTGTAAGGGTAGTGGCAGGGAGGCAGGGGTGCTGCCTCAAAGAAATAGAATGAGAAAGTAAAATGGAGTATTTCTGTATATTGATTTTGGTGGTGACTACAAGAAGCTGTATAAATGACATAAACACGCACACCCCACAGCAGTATCAACTTCCAGGTTTGGAATTCTACTGTCGTTATGTAACTGTGACCCTCAAAGCCCACTGGGTGAAAGGCACACCTCTCCTGACAGCTTTCCTTGAATCTGTAATTATTTCAAAATAAAAGAGTTTAAAAGGACAAACGTGTTCATACACACACCTAAAGCATGTGTCCAAGATATATACACAAATACATACACAAAATTATGTTGTGTAGCCAGAACGATCCAATAGAACTTTCTACAATGATGAAAATGTTCTCTATATGTGCTGTCCAGCATCATAGTCGCTATCCCTGGGTGGTTATTGAGCACTCAAGGTTAGTGAGACTGAAAGATGGAGTTTGATTGAATTAATTTAAATTTAAAGAATCACCTGTGGCCATCGGCTACCATGTTGGATAGCACAAGTCTAGAGATCAGACGTCTATTTATTGAATGAGTATTCAAAAGGCAGGGTAACTGAACTGTGGTTGCCTCTAGAGAAGGGCGGTAGGGTGTGGGTGGGATGGAGTTTTGCATTTCATTTGTATCATTTGAATTAAGCATCAGGTGTTTCATTTTCCAATCCATGAAAAGAGGTGGTAATGCCCACAGCAAAGGCCACCGTGTCCGATGGAGACCAGGACACCTTTCGTGTGAGCATTCTGACATGGGTGCCTCTGGCTTCTCCCCCAACCTCTAAGCTTTAGGCCTCAGGGAAGGTAAAACTCAATATTGCTGTCCTCCCCAGGGTGGTTCTTCTGGAAAGGGGACAACACTGAACCATACCTCCGACGTGGACTTAGTCCTGTTCCTCAGCTGCTTCTCCAGCTTCCAAAACCAGGCGCTGCTCCGTAAAGTCATCATTGACCTCATCGAGTTGAAATTGACTCAATATAGCAAGACACTGGCCTACAGCATCAGCATAGTCCACCACAGAGAGGGGAAGAGGGACCCCCGATCCCTGTCCTTCCATGTGCAGGCCAAGAAGCGCAGTGAAGCTATTAAGGTGGACCTGCTCCCAGCTTTCGATGTTCTAGGTAAAAAGAGTGTTGGGTCTTATCCAGAGAACTACTGGGGGCCCTTCACCAAGCTGGCCTGCGGGAGGTTTGGGAAAGTGGAAACCAATGGGAAGAAAGTGGAGTTTGCTCTTTTCAGGGGTGGAGGGAGGTGACTGGAGTGACACTTTGAAGGTTCAGTCCTCCCATAAATGCTTGTGCAGCCATGTCCCACTATCTTGGGGGAAAGAGGACTTTTCCCAGAGAATGGATTCCCACCCAGCTCAAGGAGCAGGTTCTTCTCAGACTTCCTGGGAAACAAGCCCTTAGAAGGTCTTTGCAGTTTAGAAGTGAATTAGAATCATTTTAAAAATAGGGTTCTTAATGTCTTCAAATATGACTCTAAGATTTAGTAATTGTGTGACCTTGGACAAGAAATGTAACCCCTCCAAGTCTCAGTGTACCAACCTGTTAAACAGGATAATAATTTGGATTGAGCCACAGAAAACTGACAGTATTTTATCAAATTTGAAGCCTCCCCCCCCCAAAAAGGCAATTTTCTATGGTTCAGCTTAATTTTACCTATATTGTAGAGTTGTTCTGAGGACTCCATGAGTCATGCCTGACACTTGGCAAATCTGTGGTTAATGCGAGTTATTTAAAATCTCTGTGGGGCCTCCCTCATGGCGCAGGGGTTAAAGACACAAGTGCTATCAAGCTATCGGCAGCACAAGCTCAATCCTCGGCCGGCCAGAGAGCTAACCCACATGGTGCAGCAGACCTCTCCTGCCTCGCCCACAGCTCCCCTCAGCAGTGTGTTTCAGTCTATCTGCCTGTTCTTCTCCCCACTCTGTCTCTGGTGAATCCTCTCACACACACACTCCCCCCTACCCCCCCCGCACCTCTAGCCTATACCCCAGTTCTTGTGTGCATACATAAATAGATCTTTAAAAATAATAATATAATAAAATAAAATCTACGTGACTGTTGGGTGGACTGTTAAGCCCTCTAGGCCTCCACTTATTTGCATGTAAAATGAGGGAGATAAAGCTCCAGTGAGGATGGCTTGGGATCTTTTATATACACCTTCCATCTTCCTCCCCTCAGAAATTGGATTCTCCTGACCAGGTCTTTTTCTCATCCCAGGAAACATGTGTCCAGATACATTAAAAAAATCACCAGAAATCTATGAAAACTTAATAAACAGCTATTCCCACCCTGGGGAGTTCTCACCCAGCTTTGTGGTGTTGCAGAGACGCTTTGTGAAGAGTCGCCCTGCTAAGCTGAAGAATCTGCTGCGGCTGGTGAAGCACTGGTACCTGCAGGTGTGAGCACGGGTGTTGAGTTGGGAGGTGCAGGGAAAAGAGGGAGGGGGGTGCATCCTAGCATTTTTCAAAGAGGAAAAAAATGGAACCAACCTATCTCAGGGTAGGGACTGGGTTAAATAGAACAGTAGTTTGCATTATCTTGCCTTTCTGTGATTTCAGCTACCCAAGGTCAACCTTGATCTGCAAATATTAAATGGAGTAAGAGAAAGAGATCACATTCGCATAACTTCAATTACAGTCTATTATGACAGTTGCTCTATTTTTTTTTTAATTTACATCTTTAGTACTTTCACTTTTTTTTAAGTAGAAGAACTGGAAGGTAGGCCAGAGGTGCAAGAGTAAGAGGATTCACCAGAGACAGAGTGGCGAACAGAACAGGAAGATTTGCTGAAATACACTGCTGAGGGGAGCAGTGGGCGAGACAGGAGAGGTCTGCTGCGCCATGTGGGTCACCTCCCTGGCCGGGGATCGAACTAAAGCTGTAAAGGTGATAGCACTGAGACTTGAACCCTAGGCCACCAGGGAGGCCCCATAGTTATTCTATTTTATTATTAGTTATTGTAGTTGATCTCTTACTAAGCCTAATTTATAAATTAAACAATCATAGGTATGTATGTATGTATAGAAAAAATATAGTCTATAACTACAGGGTTCAGTACTATCGGCAGCTTTCAGGTGTCCATGGGGGGTCTTGGAAGGTATCCCCCCTCCTATAAGGGGAATTAGCATATAGATGAATTAGGATTATCAGAAGCTCTTTGTAAACGATAGTGAGCTGGACAATGTTTTGCACTCTATTGTTTGTTGCAGCTGTGTTCTGTTAACTTCTGAGGCATCATGTCCCGGTTACAGACTCTGATTCCAATGGCAGGTTGCTCGATGACCAGTAAATGCTTCCTGATGTGCACAAACCTCGTTTTCCACAGGCTTCAGACCTCAGGCATTGTGGATCATAAAAATAATTGCAATAACTTTCTAAATTTTGGAAGAATTGGAAAGTTCAGATTATCACCCAGTCTTCTTCACCTTTCTGTTTATTCTGACACTGTTTTATAATTTCAGAGTCTGTGTGTTTTTGTTTTCTCCAATTATACCCTATATTCACTGTATTATATTGCCTCCCCCATTCCAACTGAGTAATATGGGTTAAGACCCAGAAGATCCACAAGAGGCCATAACTTCCTCTTTAATTAAAACCTTGATGACCCCAAGACATAATTTCATCTGGACCCCAGGCTGCTGGGTCTACATGTAATGTTATGGATGTGCCCCATAATCCAGATATAAAATGAAGTTGATGAAATAGTACCTGAAAACAGAGTGGCCAGAAAACATTTCAGTTCCCAGAGCAATGATCTCATATTCTTTCTCCCCCCAAATGCCTCATCTATCTATCTTCTTTCCAGTGTTTGAAACCTAAATATCAAAAAGTAGCACTGCCCTCAAAATATGCGATGGAGCTACTGACTATCTACTCCTGGGAATGGGGTACAAGTGAAAGTGAGAACTTCAACCTGGATGAAGGATTTATAGCTGTGATGAAACTCCTCCGAGAATATGAAGCTATCTGCATATATTGGACCAAGTACTATGATTTCCAAAATAAGGTTGTCAGAACCTTTATCAAACGACAGTTGAAAGAAAGCAGGTGGGTATGTTGGTTGCACTACTTTCAGCTGCAAGGACTGGAAAATCCAACTCAAACAAGTTTAAAAGTAAAGGAAATATATTGGCTTTTGTAGCTGAAAAGGCTGAAAATAAGTGAAGTTTCAGGTATAGCATGATCCAGGTGTTTGTTATGTCATCAGGTTACTATTCTGTGAGAGACTCAGCTCTGCCCTTCCCAGTTTTACTATCGAATTCAGGCTAATTCCTTCATGGCTGCACCAGTTCCAGGATTCTCAACTGAACTCATACCTTCTAGTGCAAGAGGGAGGGCATGTCTGCCCTAGCATTCCAGCAAAATCTCTGAGATTCACTCTGACTGAGCTGACATCTACTTTGTCTTCAATCTTGAACCCAGAGATTCAGTTTTTGGGGAGACCTCCCTACAGAGAGACCTGTACAATCCCACAGACTTGAGTGACAGAGGCCAGTGTCTTGAGCGCAATGGAAATTCACTGTCCTTCTCGCTCCCAGGCCCGTTATACTGGACCCAGCTGATCCCACCAACAACCTGGGCAAAACAAGAGGATGGGACCTGGTGGCCAAGGAGGCTGCTCACTGCCTGAAGCAGGCCTGTTGCAGAACTGAAGACCCCACCGAAGGCTGGCACGTACAGGTACAACCCACCCGCACCAACGACTTGGTGATCTCCTCACTTCAGCCCCACATGAATCTCCCCAACTTCTGTCACATCACTTGTCAGTCCCCAGAACAGGCAACACCTCCATGGAGACGTTCCAGCCAACCAGTTGTGTGGTTTAAGTGTCTGAGCCTCAGTTATTTCATCTGTAAAATGGGCAGACCATGTCTGCCCTGCTCAGTAGCTATTTGAAGGATATAGTCGAAGAATTTACTAACCTACATACATCCTGGAGAGGTAAGATTTTATGGGTTGTTGAAAGCTCAACTTCTTGTTGTTCAAGCAAGAAGAGACTGCCTACATTCACACGTTGCTTAATGATGCTGTGGTCAAGGACAGACAGTAGACAGTGGTCCCCCACCTAGGTGTGTAGTCAGCTACACCACCTTGGGTCCTGTAATGACACTCGATGATGCTTACTCAATGATGACATCGCCCAACAATGTATTTCTCAAAATACATCCCCTTCGGTATTTCATTACAACACATGACTAAATACATCCCCAAAATCCACAAATGAGGAACATAGGAAAGATGCTACTGTAGGCAGCAATCTTGGCTGCCCAGGCCCCCTCCCTCCACATGGCGCGTCCAGCACAATCTCAGCATTCCTGGGTCTCAATGCAGGGTTCGAAGATCAGGACTCTGCTTGATCTGCTCTAATTTCCCCAACCTGCTACTCCCAGAGAAATCTTGTAGCCCGTCCCACATTTCATATCCTGTAGGAAAAACTCTGAGTTTCATCTCATAGGCAAACCAGCCACCACTGGACCAAATACGTAACACATCCAAGGGACCTGTCACCCAGCCATCCCATTGTGTGGAATGTCCAGTGGGTTGACCGGGGTCTCCCAGGAGACAAGATCCAGGGAATAGTCCTCCAGCTCTTGCCAAGAACCGTCCCCCTGTCATCGTCCTCATCAGCAGCAGCGTTGTTGTTAGTATTTCATGTCTTGTAAAAAGGCAACACACATTCAAAACCAAACTATTGGAAAGGGTTCATAAGCAACTGTCTTCCTCTCATCCTGACCCCCGTTCTCCCAGTACCGTTCCCTGCCCAACCCCCACTTATCACTTTATCACACCTTCTTCCATGGGTGTTCCCCTTGCACAAAAGTGCATGCCTGGGTCTGACATCCTATCTTTTGAGCTTTTACTTTTATTTGCTTAAATGATCAGGTTATTCGATGACTCAATCAAATGATCTGAAAGACAATTCCATATCCACACACATAGACCTAAAAGGCATAACATGGAACATTAGGTCTGAACCAGGGATACTTTGGAGCATGAAATGGGGTGTTGTTAATTATGCCAGGACAAGGGGCATGTACCAGGGCTGCCCTGGATAAGGGACATAGAGTCATCCTGGATCTAATCAATCTTTTCAATCTATATCACTATATCACTGAAAGATCACCAAAAAGATCACCATTGTATCACTGAAAATATCACCCAGTGAATGAAAGTCCCTTAACTTACTTAAGTACCCCTCTGATATGTTTTTAGGATGTTTCAGATTTCACTATTACAGTAAATATCCTTGACTATATATTCCAGTGCCTGACATACATTAAATCACCTAACCTCACGACAGCCCCATGATGTACCTATGGAGTACAGGCTAATGTTATCTCCATCTGAGGAATGGAAACTCAGTCCAGATAGGAGGTGTGGTTATTTGGAAAACTACTGCTAGTCATTCCTCTGGTTGAGGTGAGTCAGAGGACAAAGATTGTTAGGGGGAAAAGGATGTCCAACCCATTCAATATTGGGGCTGCCTTATAACAAGATGACTTAAGGCCCCGGAAAGTCTAGGATCATCGAACATTCTACTTTGCCTGGGACAGTCCTGGTTTATGCCTGTTGGCTGAGAACATTATTCCTAACAGCTCTTTCCACTTCTAAAAGTGTCTTAGTAGGCAATAAATTATATTGTCAGTAGCCAGAAGGGGAAGGAGACAGAAACCACAGACTGCCATGGCCACCAGCTACCCTTGTATTATCTATTCCTCCCTTGCAGCCAGCCAGGGATGTGCTGGTGACAGTGAGACAGAGAGGGGAGAAAGCCCACACCCTCTCGGTGAACCCTTACCAGCCCATCTGGAAGATGAAAGCGGAGCTCAAGAAGAAATATTATTGCAGTGGGAGGCAGCGTCTCTCCTTCCAGGAGCGTGGGGAGGAGCGGCAGCTGCTGAGCAGCCGGAAGACCCTGGCAGATTACGGGATCTTCTCCAAGGTGCGCGTCTGGATGCTAGAGACCTTCCCTCCGGAGATCCAGGTCTTTGTGAAGGAGGCCAGTGGCCGCAGCAAATCTTACGCCGTTGAGCCTGATGACACCATCCGTGACTTGAAATATAAGATTGAGGAGGCTGGAGGGCCTCTCGCCAACAGCCAGACCCTGAAGCTCCCAGATCGGAAGGTGTGGAATAGCAGCACCCTTTCCGACCTGCAGATCAAGGACTGTGACACCATCATGATGTTCATTAAGGGAGACCGCTAGTCCCCACGAATGCCCATGGAGGCAGGAGAGGTCCAATGTGAACGGCTACACCCCACATCCCACTCCTTTCTCCCCACACCACTCCACTTTTCTGAGGCATAACTAAGAACACACATTTTAACCTTGAATCATCAAGGGCCTTTTCATCTCAAGTGATGGAGACCCTATTCAAATTAAGTTGAAGCGGGCCTCCCTGGTGGCGCAAGGGGTTAAGCACAGCACTGTGAAGCTATCCACAGCCTCTGCAGCAGGAGTTCGATCCCCGGCCAGGAAGCCGACCCACATGGTGCAGCAGACCTCTCCTGTCTTGCCCGCTGCTCCCCTCAGCAGTGTATTTCAGTAGATCTGCCCGTTCTGCTCCCCACTCTGTCTCTAGTGAATCCTCTCACCCCCCACACCTCTGGCCTGTGCCCCAATTCCTTGTATGCATAAATAAATAAATCTTTAAAAAAATGAAGTAAAAATAAGTAGACCACAACAACCCCTAAGAGTCTAGGGATAACTAACATCCGGCACAGCTGGATCCTGGAATTCAAGTGACTCTACAAGGCACATCAGTTAGTTCACACCACATAACAAACCATCCCAAAGCACACCTTTATTTGTGCTTGGTTCTCTGAATTGGTTGAGCAGATTTTCTGGTTTGTTCTGGCCTCCCCGAAGCTGGAAGTCCACAACACCCTCACGTGGATGGAAGTTCGAAAATTAGAAATGCCTTTACCATGTGGTTTTCATTATCCAACAGGCTGGTCTGAGCCCATTCACAGTCACTGGGCACTGCAAATAGCGAGAAATAAGACAAGCCCCAACAGACAAGTATTTTTTAAGGCTTTACGTGCATTATGCTCATTAATGTCACATTAGCCACGTGCCCAAGCCCTGCTTCAAAGAGTGGAGAAATAGGCTGTGCCTCTTGATGGAGGGAACTGCAAATTCAGCATCACAGAGGGATGTGCACACAAGAGATGGGAAAATTTTTAAAGACGTTATTTTTGATTTTCTAAGATAATGTCTCTCTGCATGGGAGGGGAAATGGAGACGGGGTCTTCTCTGCCGTGGGCACCCATGCAGCCATTATGATGCATGAACAAGCCTGGAAATTCAAGGGCATTAACATCCCACAGGGAAACCCTTGACTGATGGGGAGTCACTGGGGGGACAGGCACCAGTGAATGTAGGCACCCCTCCTCCACCTCTCAGGTGGGTACTTCTAAGGCATATTCTACGCTACATCTCAGGGGGTCCCAAGTGAGATTGAACCCCAGTTTCCCACAGTAATCAATTTAATAATAGTTTTTAGATTGGTTTTCCCTCCTTCTCAAGGGGGTACCCCCACACCTATCCCGTGGGATCATTTCCCAAACAAACCACCCTCATGGAAACCCTAGTCTCAGGCTCTGCTCTTGGAGGAACCCAAGCTAAGACAACACCCAACTTCACATCTCTTCCTCCTGCCCCAAGCCTGGAGCACTCCCTTCCTACGCACTGGCTCTTGTCTGGCCCATAGAAACAAACCCAACTGGGTGGCATTTTGACAAACCATAAAGACAGCCCATTACTCACTCCAAGTTCCCTTGTAAAATTCTCAAATGCCATCCACAGTCTTACCAATCAACTAATTGAAAGCTGTTCAACTCTTGAGATATTTCATGAAGCTGAATAAAGACAGATATATAAGGTCTGAATGTTTGTTGTTTGAATAAATTCTACATGCCCCGGGAGTTAATTACCTGCCGTCATAAACCTCTGGCAAATGTTTGGCAAGTCTTACTTTCTTGTTGACTTAGGTATGAAATGGCCTCTGCTCTTTAAACTACTACAATATTTAAGGACTAGCCACTACCAAGCATTGGAAATACATAAATACATAAGTTTAGGTAATAAAAGATGTCATGCTTTCCATTTAGAGTGAGCCAGTTTGGAGGTTTAAATTGAAATGTGTAGTGATTGAGGGGGCTTTTCGGAATGATATTTAAGACAAGCAGCACTCTGCACCCTACTATCTATCTGCTCTAGCTCATAACCTGTCTTCTCCCCCTTCGCCTGTCATGATAAACTTCCTCAAAGGGTTATCCACACTCTTGGTGTTTGTTCCTCTGACTCCTCTGACTCTCCTTAATCTGCCTTCAACTCTCAGTTCTCCCCTGAAACAGCCCCCTCCAGTCACCAGGGACTTCCTGAGTACTTCTCAGAACTATATTTCATAACTTATGAGAAGCACTAACTTCTGGACCACATGTTTAAGTTCTCTGGCTTTGTCCCCTCCGATGTGGCCATTCCATCCAGTATTCCAAATTTCACTTTCTCTGCCCATCATTTAAATGTTGGCATTAGTCATCCTTCCCCATGGTATCAGTGACCACTTGTTGGAGGAAGTGGTTGGGAGGGCATCACGCTGGATGATCAGTGAGCTGGAGCTTGGCGATTGAAGGCGCCTCCTCTCCTTCCCTGTCCTCACAATAATACAGGAGGGAAGCGATGTGAGAGGGTATAACTGAAACAAGATTGCCTACAGGCTGATAATTATTGAAGCTGGAAGATGGTGTGTGGAAGTTCATTATATTATTCTACTTTTGTTATGATTGAAATTTCCCATAATAAAAGAAATAAATCAGACTACTCCTTACCTTCTCTGCGCCATGTGATCCAAGCTGCCACCTCTCTCCCTCCACTATTGCAGGAGCTTCTTAACTGAACTCCTGCTTCCCCTCTCACCTCCATCCTCACCCTCTGCTTTAATCTAATCTTCCCACCCCAGCCCTGCAACCATGTGATCCTGTTCAGGAAATAAGTCAGAAGAAAAAAGAAAAATATCAGATGGTTTCACTTATAGGAGAATTATAGAGAAACTGAACAAAGGGTTGAAAAAGAAAGATAAAACTTGCAAACTACAAATCTGAGTTATTCGGAGGGGAGGGAGAGGGAGAAGGGTCAAATAGAGGAGGGAAGAGCACAAGGTTGGTTCACTGGGTGAGGTGGTGGTGGGAGATTTGTGGGAAATACACCTGGGGGAGAAATCAAACATTATACAAAAATGAACAACAATGTAAGATAATTTAAAAGTTTAATAAAAAAGTGTTTTGAATATTAAAGTAAATGACTAAGTCAAAAAAGATAAAAAGAGGGCCTCCCCGTGGCGCAGTGGTTGAGCGCTGGGTTGCGAAGCTGCCCACAGCCTCTGCAGCGCCGGTTCGATCCCCGGCTGCTCCCCGGCCACCGGAGGAGGGTCCCACATGGCGCGCAGACCTCTCCTGCCACCCGCTGCTCCCCTCAGCATTGTGCTTCGGTCCTTCTGCCTGCTCTGCTCCCCGCTCTGGCTCTGGTGAATTCTCTCACCCTCCCGCGCTTCTGACTGTACCCAGTGCTTGTATAAATAAATAAATAAATCTTTAAAAAATAAAAATAAAAAACTCATGGTTTAAAATTTAAAAAGTAAATAAATAAATGTAATTGACATCAATTAAAAAAAAAGATAAAAAGAAAATCAAACCATATCCCTCCCCTGCTTGAAAGTCTCCAAGGTCCCCTCATCTCAATCGCGTTAAGGCAAAGTCTCAGTAATCTTCAAGCACCAACACCACCCTCAAACCCCTTTCACCGCTCAAGCCTCATCCCCTTTCTTGTCCACCTTGATCATTCCATCCAGTCACCACTCTTCCTCATACACACCAGGCTTTGCTGCCACAGGACCTTTGGACTTCCTGTTCCTTCTGTCATGAATGATCCTTTTCCCTTTGACACATTCTTTTTTTTTTTTTTTTAAGATTTATTTATCTATTTATTTATACAAGCACTGGGTACAGTCAGAAGTGCGGGAGGGTGAGAGAATTCACCAGAGCCAGAGCAGGGAGCAGAGCAGGTAGAAGGACCGAAGTACACTGCTGAGGGGAGCAGCGGGCGGCAGGAGAGGTCTGCGCGCCATGTGGGACCCTCCTCTGGTGGCCGGGGAGCAGCCAGGGATGGAACCAGCGCTGCAGAGGCTGCGGGCAGCCTCGCAAGCCAGCGCTCAACCACTGCGCCACCAGGGAGGCCCATTTGACACCTTCTTGATTCAGTCTTTCCCTGCTTCACCTCTTTGCTCAAATGCCTTTTCAGACCTTCCCTAACCACAGTATTTAAAATGGAACACCTCAACACAACGCGCATGTCCCACAGTACCTCCTAATCTCTTTCCTGCTTTCTTTCTCTCTTTTTTTTTTTTTAAGATTTACTTATTTCTGCATACGAGAACTGAGTTACGGGCTGCAGGTGTGGATTCACGGGGCAGGGGGAGAGGATTCATGAGAGACAGAGTGGGGAGCAGAACAGGCAGATCTACTGAAATACACTGCTGAGGGGAGCAGTGGGCAAGACAGGAGAAGTCTGCTGCGCCATGTGGTCATTTCCCTGGCCAGAGATCAAACTCGTGCTGGGGAATCAAACTCATAGCTGCGGATTGCTTCATAGTGCTGACACTTAACCCCTTGCACCACCAGGGAGGCCCCCTCCTGCTTTATTTTTCTGCTTAGTATTATCACTATATTGTTCATTATGACTGATAGAAGCCCTCTGCAAGCAGATATCCTTGCCTAGTGACAGCTGTATTCCAAGCATCTGCATGACACATAGTAGCTGCTCAATATATATTTGCTGTGTCAACAGCATTCCAAGATTCAGCCCCTACCCATGCAGGCCTATGGCTTACCTCTCTTATCCTTACCCTCCATTCCAAGGCATTTTTGACAACTAAATCAAAACTGGGATACACAAGGGTTATCCGGACTGTCAGCCCCAGTCTTTTAAGATTCATTTCAAGCAGGTGTCCACTCATACCACAGGTGACCCAAAAGAAACTCTTCTTCATAAATTTCCACCAGGTTTCTATGCCTTTTTTTTTTTTTTTTTTTTTTTTACCTAGCATGCATCACACTGCACTCAGAGTTTCTTGTCCATCTCCCCCACTGCTCTGGGGACCCCTGGGTGCAGGAACTTATTTTGTTTTCTTACCACAATATGTGGCACCTCACAGGCACTCAACAGCTGTTTAATGAGGGACTAAGAACACACACTTGGACAAAGATGTCATGCATTGGCAGGGTCCAGGCCATTCCGGCTCCCGACAGAATGTTGGGGGTCTGAAATGATGGTATGGAAAGAAGGTCCGTGTTAAGTGCAATACACGTGACACCATCGGGGCCCTTAAGAAGCTGACTGTAGCCCAAACCGATGCACATTGGAACAGATTGTCTCAAAGAAGTGGCACATAGTTTTGAAGGACCATGAGTCTTGTGACGAGATGAAGCTGGAACTTCATTATCAATACAGCAGAATTTCTTCCCCCCGTCCATTCTCCCACCTTCACTGATAAAGATGCTTATCAGCATGTTACTGAAAACTCATGTTAATAAAAACTCAGAAGTTGAAAATAACAATAATACCACTTTTGCTGTTTTCTCTGCTCACCATTCTCAAGTTTACACACAACCATCTATGGAGTGGGTATTATTATTAAACCCACTTTCTGCATAAATTTGTGAGGGTTAGAGAGGTTGACAGATGGTGAAGGACTGTCTGGCATTCAAAGACTGTTCTGTTGGACTCCAGAGTTCCCACAGCTCACCCCAAATCATAAGCCCACTCTCTCTTTTTTTTTTTTTTTTTTGAAGATGTATGTATGTATGTATGTATTTATTTATTTATTTATTTATTTATTTATTTATACAAGCACTGGGTACAGTCAGAAGTGCGGGAGGGTGAGAGAATTCACCAGAGTCAGAGCGGGGAGCAGAGCAGGCAGAAGGACCGAAGCACAATGCTGAGGGGAGCAGCGGGTGGCAGGAGAGGTCTGTGCGCCATGTGGGACCCTCCTCCGGTGGCCGGGGAGCAGCCGGGATCGAACCAGAGCTGCAGAGGCCGCGGGCAGCTTCGCAACCCAGCGCTCAACCGCTGCACCACTGGGGAGGGAGGCACAAGCCCACTCTCTTTATGAGCCTCATATTCCAGGATGGGGTGATTAGATCAACACACCATCCAACTCTGACCTATAAGGAGAGTTGCCTCATCCAGAGCCGAAGTCAAGCCAATTTCAGTTTCCAAACGTCATAAAAGGGAAATTCTACCAGCTGAGAATCGAAACCGACAGCAGAGAGTTTGGCTAGAAGCCAAGTCTGTTAAGGTGGCCCGAAGTTTTCCAGCCCCAGTGCAGTGTCCCCCAGTACCCCTGCTGTGACAAGGGATCTGCAAGAAAGGGAGCCCCAGGTCAGCCAGTCACTCCTGGTTTCCCCTTGGCTCTGGTCCTTTATCCCATAAGATGCTGGAGGTCAGCTGAAGAGGAGCCCCCTTAAAAAAGGGGTGTGTGCATCAGGAGCCAGATGAGCCTGTGGCCTTATATCTGCCCTGCAGTTGTACCCTTCAGACCGAGATGGCACTGCCCCCGGAGCTATATGAGATCCCTGCCTCCCGGCTGAACTCCTTTGTGGCCCAATGGCTGCAGCCCTGCCGCGAGTGGAAAGAAGAGGTGCTGGGGGCTGTGTGGACAGTGGAGAACTTCCTGAGGGAAGGCCACTTCCAAGGGGAGCGGGGACTGGACCAGGTGCGGGTGCTGAAGGTGGTCAAGGTAAGACTGGTTCCCTCCTATCCACAGATGAGGTGGGGGGAAAACCCAGCTGAGGGTCCATGTCCCTGCAGATTCTGGGGTCCTCTTGTCTCATTATCTCCAGCCCATGCTGCTGACATCTCAGAACACCCCACCTACCAGCCTGCACCCCACCTCACTGCTGCCTTGAGCAGAATGAGTCTGGCAAGGAAGTTAATAATAGTTGACTTTTGCGGGCACACTAACCAAGCCCTCCACGTATATTAGCTTTAATTTGTGCACCCTGTGAGGGAGGTACTATTCCTTTCCCATTGTAGAGAGGAGAAAAAAATGGAGGCTTGAGATTTAAAACCACCAAATGCAATGTAAGATCTCTGATTAGATCTGGGGTGGATAGCCCGCCAGTAGAATATAGTTGGGAAACAACTGGGACAACTTTAAATAGATCAAATAAGAGAACTATGGTTGGTTTTGGTGGTGAAAGAGTTTTTTAGTTATGGGGGGAAATACTGTTCACTGTTGGCCACAAATGCTAAAATATTTAGGGACAAAGTTCCTTGGCGTCTGCAGTTTCTTCTAAAATGATTTAATAAAACAAAGTTTTCTTAGTGGATGTTCAGAGAGAGGAGGTGACTTGCCCGATATCACAGCTAATGGTGGAACTAAGATTTGAACCAGCATCTATCTGACGCCAAAGATCCAACTGTTGCCACAGTATCAAAATTCAAGAGCACCAAAGCTAGACAGGTCCTTGAGATCCAACCCTGCCTCAACCAAGCCCTCATTTAAGTATGAGGGAAATTCGGGTTCAGAGAAGGTAAGAGACGTTCCAAAGTCACAGGCCGATGAGTAGCAAGGGCAAGAGCTACTTGCCTAGTTCCTTTGTTCCCTCTCCAGTGGCAGCCACAACAGGGAAGGATTTAGAAACCTCAGGCTCCCATTCCATCTGGACACCTGTTCTCAACATCTGGAAACTGTGGTTATATGATTTAGAAGTGAGAAACCAAAAGTTTTAACATTAGATAAGGCCTAAGTTTGACTCTTGACTTCTCCCCTGGCCAGTTGTGACCTTAGACTTCTCTCTTAAACACTCATTCTACTTATCTGTAATTGAGACACCATCCTCATCCTCAACATAGTATCCCTTTAAGCAAACGAGGCAGTGTAGGTTAGATTAGTGCATGACACAGGTTAAAAATTTTTTTTAAATCATGAATTGTTACTGAACCTTCCTTCTGAGCTTGGGTGCCAGCCTGAGGCAAGGAGACCCTTCCAGACCCCCGATAACCCTGAAAATAAAGAATGGGGAAGTCTAGGGACAGACAGGTGTTACAAACAGAATGAGTTTTGGCCACAGGATGTGGTATTTATCCAACACTCAATTTCTGCCCTTGGACCATAGCCACTTCCTCTCAAGACTACTAAATAATGGAAATACCCAAAGAGCAATGACTGATGAGAAGTAACTTTATCTGAAACCTAAACCTTACTCCCATCCCATCCCCAAAATCTAGTGAGCTGGGTTGGTCCACATTGAAAGGTTCGGCGCGGTAAAGAAGAGCCAGGCCAAGTTTCCTTGGGGGGAAGGGAAAGTTTATTGCTCCCGGGCGGACCTCACAGACCCAAGGCGGGGGTCAGTGGAGTCGCGCGCGTTGTCAGGGGGAAGCAGGGTTTTATAGGGTGAGGAGAGGTCAGGTGGGCTCGTTCAGCGGGAAAAGTTTGTAGGGCGCGAAAAGGTTCGTGGGGCAGGTAGGAGTTCTTTGTCTGAGAAGAGACTCGTGGGGGAAGGGGGGAGGCGCACCGCCTGAATCCTCCAGGCAGGTATCCGCATTCCTGCCCCCCAGGTGGGCTTCCTGGTTGACTCCTGCATTCCGGCCCCCTGCATGGACCTTTCACACATGAGTGAATGCTTGTCCTTGCAATTGAATTGGGTTTAAAGAGGTTTGAACTGAAGCAAGTTATGAGGTTGATTCTAGAATGTTCTTTCCTCTCCGTTTGGGTCTCACCACTGGGAAAGGCAGTTAAGGCACAGCCTTCGGGGGGAATGTGCCTTTCATCCACACACAGTGTCCCATTCCCTGGCCCTCTCACATAGGGAAGGATGTTGGGGAAAGAGAATGGGAAACAAAGGCAAAAGAAGATGGCAGAGTCCCCAGAAGCACGGCCTGGCTCATAGACTCGGGTCATAAGGCAGAGGAAGTGGAGGAACCCATGTCATCTGACCCTCAGTTTGACTATGACTCTTGGCTCTGAGTCCACAGCAGCCTGGTTAACCCCTGCTGCCTCAGCTTTCTTGTCCGTACATCAGGGCTAATTCTCACAGTGCCCACTTCATCAGCGGATGTGAAAATTAAAAGACACAAGAGTGTTCAACCTGAGACGACAGGATTCTATTGTGAGCAATGACCCCACTTGCCAGGAGAAGCAGCTGACCCGGGGGCTGACTCCCTGCAGGAGTTGCAACAGGGTGGTCCCCAGGAAAGGGGGAGGTTCCCTGCCCCACCCAAGGGAGGGTGGAGCTGAGCAGGAAGGGGAGAAGCTGGAGAAGAGACTAAGAAGGAAGCAGGATGGAGCCAGGAGACCTGGAGGAGGCGCATGGAGCCTAGAGACACGTAAAGAAACTGCGCTTGTCTTTTGGTCGTGGACTGGGTGACACAGATGTGGGTGAGACCTGTGGAGAGGTGACAATGGCAGCTTTTATCTTGATGTTGATTTTGCTCTTTTCCTTCCGGGCTTGTCCGGTTGTTTGTGACCCTTTTCTGTGGGTCCCCACTGGAAGATGCTTTAGACTTGTAGCAGGCTTTGGGGCCTTGTTCTGGGCCGATCCCATATGGATGGACTTTTACCCACGAGGGGACAGGTAACTTTGGGTGCTTCATTTAGAAACTAGACTCTTTGCCTTACCTGTATTGTTTCCTAGTTTTATTAAAGATCCTTCCCATTAGTCTCATGTGTTTTGTGTTGATGCGGCGGATGGCAGAACCCATTTAGAATAGGCAGGTTTGCGGGGTTTGGGCTGCCCCTCTCCCTGTCCTATAACAGAGTGACAAACCACCTGATGGCACAGGCGTTTGAGCTCAGTGCTGTGAACCTGTCTGCAGCCTCTGCAGCACAGGTTCGATCCCAGCTGGCCGGTGAGAAACTCAGAGAAACCCACATGGCACGGCAGACCTCTCCTGTCTCACCCGCTGCTGCCCTCAGCAGTGTATTTCAGTCAGTCTGCCTGTTCTGTTCCCCACTCTGTCTCTGGTGAATCCTCTCACCCTCCTGTATCCTGGTTCTTGTATGTATGAATAAATAAATTTTAAATAAAAAAAAAAAAAGAGGGAGGGCAGAGTTGCCAGGCTCTGTCCACCAGAGGCAGTCAGGACTGGAGGGCAGCCAGGACATCAAAAATGCCCTTTAGAAGTTTCAGCTCAGGCTTCTTCCTTTCAGAGGAGGAAACTGAATGCCAAGCAGCGCAGAGGCGCATTTGGTCAACTAGATAAAGAGGAAGAAAATGCCAGCAACTTCCTTGTGGCAGGCGCCATGCAAACTTCACCCACACTAACTCACTGGAGCCCAGTCCGATGACTCACGCACCAACACGACTCTCATTTAATAGATAAAGAACTAAGATCCAGAATGATCATGCAGCTAAGGAACAAGGGTGGGAGGAAGATCCAAGTCAGATGCCCAGTTACAGAGCCATGGCTCTTACCCACCAGCAATCCTGCTGCCCCCCCCCTTTTTTTAATATTTATTTATTTATTTATTTATACATGCACTGGGTACAGTCAGAAGCGCGGGAGGGTGAGAGAATTCAACAGAGACAGAGCGGGGAGCAGAGCAGGCAGAAGGACCAAAGTACACTGCTGAGGGGAGCAGCGGGCGGCAGGAGAGGTCTGCGCGCCATGTGGGACCCTCGCTGTGGCCCAGGATGGAACTGGCACTGCAGAGGCTGCGGGCAGCTTCGCAGCCCAGTGCTCAACCGCTGCGCCAGGGGAGGCCCCTGCTGCCCCCTTTTTAATGTCAGAAAACTACTCAGAATACTCACACACTACATACACATACTCTCTCTCTCTCTCTCTCTCTCTCTCTCTCTCTCTCTCTCTCCAACCCCAGGGGTAGACATGGCCTCTTTGGGATTGGTATTACTGGGCAGAGCGCTCTCAGAAGCTGCGCTGGGTGCTGGCTAAGAAGCCTGAGCCCCAGCATCAGGCAGGCTGGGTTCCAGCCCCAGCTCTGCCACGTGCCATCCTGTGTGGCGCAGATGAGTGGCTCATTCTCTTGATGTCTCAGTCTGCTCACCCATGGAGAGGGCAGTGGGCATGAATGGGGACCCGCCGTGTGGGGAGGCTGGGGACTCAGGAGCGCCTGGCCCCAGCAGCGGCCTGTGGGTGACCGCCTCTGTGTTGGGCAGGTGGGCTCCTTCGGGAACGGCACGGCGCTCAAGGACGTGGCAGAGGTGGAACTGGTGGCCTTCCTGAGCTGCTTCCGAAGTTTCCAGGATCAGGCCAATCTTAGCCAAGCCGCTCTGCACCTGCTACGGAGGGAGGCCTGGCGCTGCCAAGACCTGAAGGACCTCGGGCTCCAGAATGTGAGGGTGGACCAGGGAGCCCTCGTCTGCACCATCCAGAACTGGAGGATGGCAGAGCCCATCACAGTCACCATCATGCCTGCCTACAGGGCCCTGGGTAAGGGAGGGATGCCCACCCCACTCACTCCCGCCCTTCCCTCCTCAACTCCCCATCCACTGACCCAACTCTGTCAGTCAGCTTGGGAAACAGTTTTATCAAAGAATCTTGCAGATAGATGATTGCAAATGGTGGTAAAGGCCACAGGAAAGGAACTGGGTGACCACAGAAAGCCTGCTGGGGAAGAGCCTTCTCAGGAGGACAGTCAGGGGGAGGTGAGACACAGGGAGAGGAAGGAGTTGGAAGAACAACCAAGGGTGCCTCCCTAACACTTCCTCCAGGTGTGGGGTCCTGTCTGGGGTTTTCCCAGATACAAACCCCGAGACAAGGGTTTAAAGACAAGCAGTCCCAGGAAACACGGGTAAGAAAGTGGAGAGAGCCGGGCAGGGAAGGAGCATTGCCAGGTGGGCACAGAGCAAGCCACCTGTGGGAGCAGTGGGGCTCAGCCATATCCCAGGGGGATGTTGGAAGTTTACCCACCAAATAAATCCCCATCAGCCACGGACCAAGAGCTGCTTCTAATTTATCCTCAGGTGAAGAGTTCTTGGCCTGTGCTGTTAACCGTATAGGCCACAGCACCAACATCAGAGCTTTCATCTTGTGTGCCGGCCCCTATTAACCAGAAGGCTGCCAGAGTCACTCTGCAGAGGTGTCATGGGTCCCCACCTGAGCGACAGAGTGTCTGGATGCTTTCATGAGGTGCCACAGAACACACCCCTCTGTAAACGAGCTCTTTGAGCCCAGCTTTCTCTTCTGGAACTTGGTCTCCCTTATAGGTGTTGGGAGGCTCGATAAACAGCGAGAAAGAGACCCAGAAGATTAAGGGAAACCAGAGAAGACAAGAGTCCTTGGGAGGCCTGAGGAAAGGAAAGAAAAAAATTTGGGTTGTCCAGGACAAAGAGCCAGGCAAACCTCTGGCCCTTTCCACTCTGAGGTCTCAGGTTTCCCCAGAGAGACACTCCCAGGACTTAGCAGGCTCTCCCCAGGTACACCCCACCTGGCGCTTCCTCAGTGCCTCCCTCTCCCTCCCCAGGGCCTTCTGTTCCCAACTCGCAGCTGCATCCTGAGATCTACAACGATCTGATAGAGGCCGAGGGCTACCCTGGCAGCTTCTCCCCATCCTTCAGCGAGCTGCAGAGAAACTTCGTGAAACATCGGCCAACCAAGTTGAAAAGCCTCCTGAGACTGGTGAAACACTGGTATCTGCAGGTAAGGGGGCTGCCAGGACAGCCAGCAGGGAAGGAGGGGACAGGAGGGGGCGGAGAGACAGGAGCAGATTTGCCATCTCAGGAAACTGCTTCCAGGGCAAGTGGGAGGGAAGAGAAGGGACCCGCTGCCTTTTGAACTGTCAAGTGAAACAATGAAGACATGGAGACAGAGAGGGCTGGAGGAGGAGGAGAGGAAAATAAAGAACTTACAGTAGTTCAGTCAACAAGGACTTAAAATGCTCCAGTGACAGCCCAGTAATGTCAGTTACCAGGGTGCCCTGACTTAATCCCAGCTGGTTAAGAACAAACAGAAGGAGAAATTCATTAAATTCTACCCACACCAATTTCCCCTCCAAATGGCCGAGTTCCTGAGTACCATGACGCTTACCGAGTGGATACATGGATATATGTGGTAGTCACTGTTTAGATTTCACATGTGACTTTTGCAATAGTGCTGAGTGTATTTCAAAATATCCAGATGATCCAGAGTCATCTAAACTGAGGAAAGCAGGGCCTCCCCCAGTGGCACAGCGGTTGAGCGCTGGGTTGCGAAGCTGCCCGCAGGCTCTGCAGTGCCGGTTCGCGATCCCCGGCTGCCGGCGAGGGTCCCACATGGCGCGCAGACCTCTCCTGCCGTGCCCGCTGCTCCCCTCAGCAATGTATTTCGTCAGTCTGCCTGTTCTGCTCCCCGCTCTGGCTCTGGTGAATTCTCTCACCCTCCCGTGCTTCTGACTGTACCCAGTGCTTGTATAAATAAATAAATAAACCTTTAAAAATAAATAAATAAATAAATAAATAAATAAATAAATAAATAAATAAACTGAGGAAAGCAGACTCAGAAACAAACACAAAAATTAGCAGGGAAAAAATGTTTTCTTAGAAAATAAATAGGTCAATTTTTTTTTAACTGGCTCAGTGAGAAAAGAAGAAAGCAGACTGTCATTTTCTGACCGAAGTTAGTAAATTTACACTCTGCTTATGGTAGGAAAGCAACAATTTCCTTACATGGCCATCACACCAGCCAGAGTTGGGACCTATCTTCATACCACAGCAACGCCAAAGCTAAAGATGACGTTGTTTTTATTGATGAGTCAGTCACAGGAAGCGTGCCCAGGTTTTGTGGATTCGGAGAACTAGAACTAAACAGAATGGTTCATGTGCTTGCCTGCTTGGCTTGATGTCTGTCTGGTTGCTAGATGGCTTGGTTGCTAGGTTGCTAGGTTGCTGGGTTGCTTGGTTTCAGGCTACAACGTCTTTTTTTCCTTGTACAATCGCATTTATTTGTTATTTCCACAGAACATTATATTGGCCCATTCTGCTGAGGGGAGAAGCCACAGTAGCTGGCAATAGCTTGATAGCACTGAGATTTAACCCCTGTGCCACAGAGGCCCATGTCCTGATTCTTAATCGTGGGCTAAGCATACTTATATGAGTGAAATTTCTGGCATGAATATAAATTTACTTATAAATTTATTATTGATTTATTGATAAATTAATTTATCCATCTATCTTAGAAAGACAGACAAATTTTTCATTGAGCTTATATAAATACCACAGTCATGTAAAACAGACATTTTGAATAGTCACTATCACTCTAAAAAGTTTGTAAGCAAGGTCAGTTTATGTTCATTTTATTTTAAGGCCATTGTTCTTACAGAATAATTATCTTTGTTATTCTGGTTATTTGTTAATTATAATGTATGGTAGGATTTTTTTTTAAGATTTTTTTTTTTAATTCATTTATTTATACAAGCACTGGGTACAGTCAGAAGCGCAGGAGGGTGAGAGAATTCACCAGAGCCAGAGCGGGGAGCAGAGTAGGCAGAAGGACCGAAGTCCACTGCTGAGGGGAGCAGCGGGCACGGCAGGAGAGGTCTGCGCGCCCTGTGGGACCCTCCTCTGGTGGCCGGGGAGCAGGGTATGAGCCTTTCTCTGTGAATTTATTCCCAATACATTCCCCGCACTTTCTATCATGGAGTGGGGAGAAAGACATCAGTCTGCAGATAGATTGTATTGTAGCCAGACCATTCTTTTGTAAAATACTTTTTACATTTCCTTACATAAAGACAAAATGACCTAGTAGCTTTGGCTTTCCTACTTTAATTATGTGTTAAAAACAAACAGCATAAGAAAGCCCCACCAGACAATCAGCTCCTAATCTCATAAAGCTAATATCCCAAGTCTTGTGCACACTCACAGGCACACACACATTTCTGAGTGATTTAAATGCATCAGGGTGTGCATGACAATAGTAGTGAGGCTCCCAGGAGATAGGAGAATTCTTAAGACAAACAAACCAAAAGCATGAGAGGAAATACATACATTCAAATTCCTATCGAATATCACCCAGCAGAGAATAACTTCCTATCATCTGTCTCCCAGTAGGGACGACCAGATGGTTCAATCATAAAACCAGATTCACAGGTTGTTGTTATCCACAGGAACAAAAGTGAGCCCATACAAATATGAACAAAAGCCAGAAACTGACTTCACCAAGATCAGGTTTTTTTTTTGAACCTGAAATCTTACTTTTATTTCTTGATGCACAGAGTATGTCTTATGGGACTGCCCTGCTGTAATTAATATTATGGGGAAAGAAGTAAGGGCCCAGTTTCTAATTCTAGTTTTACAAAATATATGACCTTGAAATTACAATATCCAGAAACATCAAGAAATTTGAGAAATATGTTGTGAACAAATTGATCCAACTCAATAAACTCTGCCTCATTCCAGAGCTAATACTCCATGGCTACGCATGCATAAACATTGTTAGCTAACACATTTATCAGGAAAAGAATTTTTTCTTTTTTTAATACTATCACCATAGTCCCTTGTGCTGTTCCCCCTATGTTTTGACCCCCTCCCTCGCCCTCCCCTGCTGTTTGTCTCAGATCTATAGTTTGCCTGGTAGTTTTGTCTTTTTTTTTTTTTTCTCCTCTTACTCAAGATCAGTTCTAATCCAGAATCAGAAATAGAAATAGAGCTGGAAGAGAGAGACCACATGAGCAAGAGTAAAAGCTATTGCCACTTAAGAGAGGAGAAGAATCATCCTCCAGCTTGAACACGAGGCATGTTTGAGTATAAACAGTCCCTGGGTACACTTCTCAGGTGACACAGTTTAGTCAGTTTTGGAAATAAGTTCAATCTCAGAGGAATCTTCAACTGCAGGGAAAAAAAAAACTGAGATAAAAATCATTTATTAAATAAGAACTTGCAAGGGAAGTTGCAAGGGAATCAGACTGCAGAAGAAAAGGCTTAATCCAATAATATATATAGTAGATATTTGTATTTATATATACAATAGGATAGATAGTTAAAGAAAAAAATGATTACCAAGATTACTAGGTTTATGGTTAGTCTCTGTTGATGATGGAAAAATAATAATTTTATCACATGCTTATAACATCTAGTAAGGTCATGATATATTTTCAGACAGGAATTTGCAAAAGTCAGAGAAATCCAAAACATGAAGAAATCAAAGCAAATGCATTCATTTTTCCTTACATTAACATCGTATGATTACAAGCATTCCACATTTTATTTATCATCTTAGTTTTAAGAATATAAAACCTCAGTAGTACTGGAGAAAATAAATGAGCTTTCACTCTTAAAATTATAACTTTATTGATCAAGATTTACAGTATAATTAGGTGTGAATTCACAAAATGTTATGAAAACAAATTCACAAATTTTTAAATCAATTTGAACACCGTTAAAAATTATTTTAAAGTCACAGATAAAATTGTTTTTGTTAGTGAATCAGGCAGTAACTTCTAGGAAAAGCTCAAGGTTTTATTTATTTTGGGGACTAAGCTAGAACTAGATAAGATGACCCTGTTTTTGTTTGTTTCAAGGTGAAGGTAGGGGTGGTCCCCCTTTAACTGTAAGGTGATATAGATCTTATTTATAATGACCATAGGACAAGATGTTAATTTTGCTTCCACAAACTAAATAGCTGGATGTTAAATAAAGAAAAATTTTCATTTTCTAGATGAATACTAGAGAGGTTTTTAAGACAGCAAGTGCCTGGATTGAACTAAGGTGCTTTCCTTTGCTAGTAACAGAAAAAAAAAAAATTCAAACTGGCTTAAATTATGAAGAAAATTATCAGTTCCTGTGTGAAAACCCCTAAGGTGGGAAGGGAGTTTCAGGCTCTGTTGGTGAGAGCCCTGGCTCTGTTTCTCAATAATTCTCTCACTTTCTCTCTTCTATTATGTCAACTTGGTCCTCAGACTGGTTTCCCTTATTATGACAAAATGGCCACCGCTGTTCCTGCCCTTACACCCAACACCAGAGAGGGCTTTTTTTCAACCACTGCTAGAGAGATAACCCCCATGTTATCTCTCTGTTCACCGCAGAATCCCAGCTATTACCTAGTCCCAGAGTTCCCTCTCCCCACCCCCTCCCTTTAGCGAGGTAGCTTTTCATTAGGAAGAATCCTTTCTCTGAAGCCCAGGACTTTACAACAAGCTAAAATGGAGCTGCTTGGGCTGGGATACCAAAGGCAGAGCCCAATGTGCTCATAACTTGGGACACCTCTTCAGAATTCCATTCCAGGAGTTACCTCGAACATAAGAATCAGTGGACTAAGCCAGCCCTTTAATTGGGAGATGGGCAACCCCATTAAGGAGCTGAGAGCGAGGGTGACTTGGCCAAGATAGCACAGCAGCAGGTGGCAGAGCTGAGACAAGAACATGCGTTTCCCACTTTCTGGGCCAGTGTCCTCACATGGCATATTGGGGATTCTCTCTCTCCTTCTCTTGCAACAGTATGTGCGAGCCAAGTCTCCATGGGTGGAGCTGCCCCCTCTCTATGCCCTGGAGCTCCTGACCATCTATGCCTGGGAAATAGGTACACAGGAGAATGTGAATTTCGAGCTGGATGAGGGCTTTGCCACTGTGATGCTGCTGCTGAAGGAATACCAGTACCTATGCATCTATTGGACCAAGTTCTACACGTTCCAGCTCCAGAACACACGCATCAGCGACTTCGTCAGAAATCAGCTCAAAAAAGAGAGGTACTGAGCCAGCTTTCCCACAGAGAAAAAAGTATTAAGGAAAAAGGTGGTATTACACATTATTAAGTAAAAAACTGCACCCAAGATCTTATGCTCACATAGCTGACTCCTCAAGTCAGCACCTTTAAAATTGCCAGGGGCCTTGAGCTATTAGGCGTATCTATGCTTTTTCTTTTTTTTAAATCAACCTCATTAAAGTATAATTTACATACGATGCATACACATTTAAGTGAGGACCTGGAAAGTTCTGTGAATCATTTGATCTTTTATAGCAATTTTTTTCTTTTTATTGAGGTAAGGTTGATTTACATCACTGTATAGGCTTTAGGTGGACAGTTTCCCACCTTAGCGACCGTATATGTATATTTCACACCTCCCCACCTACCAAATGTCAGGTCATCCTTCACCACCAAATTATTGCTTCTGCACTTCTTCCCCACTTGTAACTACCATTTCGGTGTGAGAGTCTAGGGTTTGGATTTGGATTTGTTTGTTTTGTTTTGTTTGCTTGATTGTGTTTCTTTCTATATCTCCCACAAGTAAGTGAAATCATATAATGTTGTCTTTTTCCTTCTGATTTATTTCTCCTTAGCCTAATCCCATCAAGGCCCATTCAAGTTGTTGCAACTGGCAAGGTTTCAACCTTTTTTATGGCTGGGTAGTATTCCATTGTGTATATACACCACATCTTTATCCACGCATCCATCATCGGGCACTCGGGTTGTTTCCGTATCTTGGCTATTGGGACTAGTGCTGCAACAAACATATGAAGCATATATATCTTTTTGAATTAATGTTTTCATGTCCTTCAGATAGAGACCCAGTAGCTTATCCTTGTTTTTTAAGCTGCAACTCACCTTACCCCATTCTTTGCCCTCAGATCATTTCAGTGCTTTTGAAATGGTCTGAGCATAAGAAAGTGGAAAGGGTGGAGGGAAGTAAATATTGTTTAAAAATAAAAATAAATTTAAAAAAAAGAAAGAAAAAAAGAAAGTGGAAAGGATTGTGGAAACCCAAGTTGTTGCCCAGCTCTGCCATTTTCCCCACTTTGTGAGCCCCTGTGCCTTGCCCATAAAATATAATATTTGGCCGCTAGGAAAGCATATATAAAGGGCCTACGGTATCTAACCTCTGGGAGATATCAGATTGATGCTCAAATTATTGCACCCTGTCCACATCCCCTGGGCCTTCACCAACTCTGTGAAGTCTGGCTCAGTCTTCAGTTGTTGGTGCCTGCAGCCCTTGGCTGAGGGTTTTCCTCCCGCTCTGAAAGCAGCTTACCCAATGGTTGGTGGCAGTTGTTGGCTAAATTCCCCAGCTCCCTCACATCTCTGATGGAAGAAGTCTCTCTGGATCACGTGGCCTCTACTGTTTCCCAGAGTCCCCCCTGTCAGAGTAATCTCCAGTTGCCCACAGTGGTAACCATAACACAGCTGCTTTATTGGCTTCTTTCCCTTCCCCATCTTACTCTCCCACTCCCTAATTGGTGCTTCCTGGCAACTCCTTCCAAATAAATTACTTGCACTCCAAGATCCTTATCTTGGGATCTGCTCCTGGGGGGACCCAGCAGCAGAAGCCATTTTTATATTGGAAGCTCCAGGTCAGTATGATCAGTGTCACCAGAATGTCTATGGCCCCTTACGTGAGTTTTGGGTGCTATTTTACACAGAAGAAAAATCCAGTTTCCTTATGAAAAGAGGATACTAGCAAGGATGCCAAGAAACTTGAGGTTGGAAACTGCTGGGGCCTAGACAAGCCTGTAGACGCCTTCTCACGCTCTCGTGGCCCAGGTGCCCTCTCCCCTCAATGCTCTGCTTCTCTCGCCCACCTGTCCCGCAGCTCTCCTACTGCCTGTTGGTGAGGGACTTCCATCATCCCTGGTGCAAACCCCCAAAGGAGCCAGTCTGATCAGTGCACACAGGCCCTGCATGTTGGCCCCCAGCCTGGAGACAGCCTGGCACTGCTGCCAGACTCTTCCAGGCAGGAATGGTCCAGGGATGTTGGGAGGAACAAACACAGAATCCAGAGCATCCAGTTCTGGGTCCCCTGACCAGCATAGCTTTTGGGGTCCCACCCCCAAAATGTCTTGCAGACCCCTATTCTTCCCAAGAGAATTTCCTGGAAAAAGAATCATCTCCATTCCATTCTGCTATTGCTTTCCGCCCTCCAGCACTCACAACCCGGGACTCTGAATGTAGCGGATGCTCAGTGGCTTGAAATGAAGACTCTGGAGAAGGCTTCCTTCCGGCTTCCAAACAAGGAGCCTGATCACCCTCTTCCTGTGTTGCAGGCCCATCATCCTGGATCCAGCTGACCCCACCCACAACGTGGCAGAAGGATACAGATGGGACATAGTTGCCCAGCGCGCCAGACATTGCCTGAAGCAGGACTGTTGCTACGATGGGGAGGACCCAGTCCCCACCTGGGAAGTGAGGGTAATGACACAGCTCTGGACTGCCAGGAGCGTGAGACTGAGAATGAAATAACTATGTAGTATTTATGTTTTTACTCCTGCCTCAATGCAGCAAACAGGGCTTGCAAGTTAGATAGTTTAAGGCTAGTGAGCTTAGAGAAATTGTTTAACTCTCTGAGTTTCAGATTTCTTACCTCCAAATTCTTATTCCCTCACTCTATCCCTCCGCCTTTTTTTTCTGGTTCTTCATCCCATAACCTATCTGAGAATCAGTCCTGGTTCTGATCATTCTTTGCATGAGCTGAACCCAGGCAAATCAAGTCAACGAGCTCTACTGCACCAGCCCCAAGGTGGAGGAAAGGGGGCAACCATAGGATAGAAACAAGACCTGGTTAATGGGGGCTCACACAGGAGACGAAATCTCTAACGTCTGTGCTTGTAGCCAATACTGTTAACAATCTGTTTTATTCACGTAGTGCTTTACAATTCGCAAAGTGCTTGACGGGGACATCTTTGTAAAGTAGAAAGATCAAGTACTTTATCATGATTATCATCATCATTATCATCCCCATTTTGCAGATAAGGAACCCGAGTAACAGAGAGGTTAATTAACCAAAGTCACTCAGCTGAGAGGCAACAGAGCCAGCTTTCACACCCAGGAGTTTGTGGGGCTCTGGGAATGGAAAGTAAATGTTATCTGAAGTCACTGCAGTGGATTACTTGAAGAAGTTGAGGCTTGAAATGGGCCCTAAAAGCTGTGGGTGGATGTAGACACTCAAACCATAGGGCACTCCCCCTGGTAAAGGGTTAGGGCAAAGGGCTGAATGGAGATGGAGGCTGGAACAAAAGACTGGCCTGCTTGGAGCAAAAGGCAGAAGCAGAACAGAGCCTCTCTAATAAGGTGCAGAGATTACAAGCTGGGAAAGCAAATGAGACTGAAATATACATGCCTTTTGTTTTTTCCTGAGTAAAGAAAGTACCGTGCAAAGATTTTTATCTGGAAAAATTAGAAGACTTGGCAATGCCAGGCATACATCTGCTAGAGGTCCAGCCCTCCCCAGGAGCCCAGATGTTCTTCAGCCCCCAGGGAATCTCAGGCCCTTGAAGGTGGGCCCGGGTGTTAAAAGGACAGAATTTTGGTGAAGGTCCAATGTATGTCTGACCTCAGTCTGAATACCTGTTCTGCTGTCACTACCTTATGACGGTTGGTAAATTACTTCGCCCTGCTCAGCTCCATTGTGCTCTTGTGTAAAACGGGATACTCGTAGAACCAGTCCTCAGACTGAGAATAAGAGGCACTAAGAATCTGAAAAGTGTGTGACACGGGAACTAGAAGGTAGGTGGCATCCCCTAAATGTTTGCTGCTTTTGCTGTTGTTGGAAAGATAAGAACAGGTGAAGGGAACTTTTGCACATCAGACAGAGGAATATGGGCTCCACTCAACCCCTCTTTCCTCTCCTTTCCAGGGAGCACGAGACATCCAAGTGACGGTGGAGCAATGGGGTTCCTCAGATTTGACCCTCTGGGTGAACCCTTATGATATCATAAAGAAGATTAAAATTAAAGTTCAGCGGGCCTGGGGCTACTTCGACCAGCATCATCTGTCCTTCCAGGAACCGAGTGGCAAGAGGCAGTTCCTCAAAACCCACTGCTCCTTGGCTGATTACGGGATCTTCTATGACACTGACATCTGTCTGGAGGAGAATATCTCCCTTGAAATCCAGATCTTTGTGAAGAATCCTAATGGTGGGAGTCACGCCTATACCCTCCACCCCAACAGCTTAATCCTGAGCCTGAAGCAGCAAATTGAAAACAAGCAGGGATTGCTCAAAAATCAGCAACAGCTGGAGTTCCGAGGCCAGGTCCTGCAGGACTGGTTGGTTTTTAGGAACTATGGTATCCAAAACAATGACATAATCATGCTTTCCAGGAAAATAGCTGGAAAGGCTCTACTCCCACCCAGCTAGTTTCCTCTGGGAAACCTCTCTGTAGTTTCTACCTCTGACGGCACTCTAATCCTGGACTCATCCTATCAAGCCGTCCTTCCAGCTCTCTGTTGGGGAGGTCCCATGTCACAACCAACTTTGTAAATAGTTATCCTAGCTCTGCCAATAGAGGAAAGAGGAGAGATTTGAAAGATCAGACATACAAATGGACAATGGCCAGACCATATATGACAATAGAATCCTGACCACAATCTCTGCAAGTAGTCAACCCAAAACCATCAAGACTTGGTCAACAATTGACAGATTCCCTAATCCCCAGCCCCGCTTCCAACTTAAGATAAACAGAAAAAGCCAAATAAGCTCCCTAACCAGTCACTCAGGATGCCCCGCTTCTTGTTAGCCTACCTACACCTACCCCATGCCAACAACCTTAATCAGGATCTTTTCTGATCCCACTATAAAGCTTTCCCACTGCCATACCTGTCTTTAAGTCTCTGCTAAACACATGGGATAATGACTGACTCCCTTCTATAGAGAGTTGGGAATAAATAACCTTTATTCATTCTCATTTAGGTGTCCTTTGTTTATTTCCATAGTGCTAATGCCATCCCAGTTGCTATTGCTTAATCATTTGAGCCTCTCAACTCTGGAAGTGAAGACTATAAAGAAACTGAGACAAAGAGAGGCAAAGTCTGAACAAGCGAGGGTGACATAGTTGAAAGGTTCGGTGCGGTAAAGAAAAGGAGAGCCAGGCTAAATTTCTCAAAGGGAGGGAAAGTTCATTGCGCCCTGGGCGGACCTCACACACCCAAGGTGGGGGTCAGTGAAGCCATGCACGTTGTTAGGGGGAAGCAGGGTTTTATAGGGTAAGGAGGGGTCAGGTGGGAAGTTGGGCTCCTATAGCGGGAGAAAGTTTGTTGTGGGGGGGAGGTAGAGGTTCTTTGTCTGAGAAGAGACTCGTAGGGGGAGGCGGGAGGCTCATTGCCTGAATCCTCCAGGCAGGTATCCGCATTCCTGCCCCCCAGGTGGGCTTCCTGGTTGGCTTCTGCATTCCGGCCTCCTGCATGGACCTTTCAATAGTATAAAAAAATCCCCTCAATTCCTGAAGTACACATAACAGAGAGTGCATAATGGTCCAATGAGTTTAGGAAAATGTTAGCCTCTTTATTACCCAAAGACATCATGTGACCACATTGACACCAACCAATGACATTTCTTTTCCCCCCTCCCTTTTGCCCTGCTTTCTGGTAGATTTCTTACCATAGAATATAAACTGCACTTTAGAGGTGGTTCTTAACAGTCTCTGGGAAATGTATCAACAGTAACCTATTTCCCACCACTTTTTGCCTTCACAGTCAGAAAGTGTCTCCTTTCCATGGGGTAGACAGGCTGGTTCACCCCACATCTTTGTACCCTTTGCAATATTCGTACAGCCCACATTGTAGGTAGTGGCAAATTCTTGTTGTTGTTGTTGTTGTTGTTGTTTTTTAAAAAAGAAGTAAGTCACCTCTCTTTTGTAATAGAAAAGCCCAAAGTGAGAAAATTTGTTTCAACAAAAAAACCAAGTCTGACACTCTTAACTTAAAAAACAAAACATGAAGAAAAGCATGCCAAAGACAAAAAATGATTTTGTTCATCCTTACTAGAGGAGTGCCTTAACTTCAGATTCTAGCATGGAGGACTTGAGTGGATCCTCAGAGATTCAGTACTGAAAAGATCCCACAAATGTCTCCAAAGTGCAGGCAAAGTGAAGTCCTGAGCTAGAAAACTGCAGGATGTTTCCCAAACTATGCATCAGAATCACCTCTCAAACTTTAATGTGCACACAAATCACCTGGAAACCTTGTTTAAATGCAGTGTCTGGGCCTCCCTGGTAGCCTAGGGGTTAAGTCTCAGAGCTATCACTACTGTAGCCTGAGTTCAATCCTGGCAAGGGAGCTGACCCACATGGCACAGCAGACCTCTCCTGTCTCACCCACTGCTCCCCTCAGCAGTGTATTTCAGTAGCTCCACCTGTTCTGCTCCCCACTCTGTCTTGGTAAATCCTCTCACCAACCCCTCTCCTCCCACACTTCTGGCCTACACCCCAGTTCCTCTATGCAAAAATAGATAATTATTTTAATATATGAACAAACAATAAATGCCATTTCTGTTCAGGTATGCATTGAAATCAAGATTCTGTATTTGTAACAAACTTCCAGTAGCAAGACTCTAAAGCACTGGAGGAAATAGAAGTTCCTGAGTCCCAACTCCCAGAAATACTGATTCAGTTAATTTTAGTTAGACTCAACTAAAATTCAGTTAATTTTAGTTAGATCTGCATTTTAACAAGCTCCCTAAGGCGCTTAAATTCCCAGATGGATCTTAGAATAATAACTGGAGTAAAGAAATACTATTGAAACTACATTGATTCAAACCATGGGAACCAATCCTGGTTTTGTCATTACACCTGGTGTGACCTTAGGCAATTCCTTACCCTCTCTAGGTCTCATTTTCCTCATCGGGAAAGGGATGGAGAAGCTGATCTCTTGGGCCCTTTCAGCGCTCACTTTTGAGGAAACCCCAGGACAGTTCAGAGGCAATGAGGACCAAACCAAAGAACTACAATCCCCACAATGCCCTGCGCTTCCCTCGCACATTGGGTCTTAACGCTGGTCGCATGCGCAGAGCTCCCACAATCCTTTGCGATGGCCAAGATGGCGGCGCCCAATGGCTCTGTGAGCGATTCGGAAAGTAGTAGCAGTAGCGGCAGCGATGCGGAGGAGCTGGCGCGGTGTCGCGAAGCAGCGATGCCTGCTTGGGGCTTGAAGCAGTGCTCAAAGGGCCCAGAGAAACCGAGAGCCGGTAGGGAACTATGTTCGGGGAGTTTGGCTTCAGGGCGTGATTTTTCCCATGTGGCAGAGAGGCAGGATAATGAGAATAATGAGGTACTCACCTGCTCTCTACCTTCCCGGAGAGAATTCTGAAATTTGTGGGGTTCAGATTCAAACGTGGGTGAGTACGGCAGGGAGGACCCCATTATCCTAGTCAGAGAAATTGAGGCACATGGATGTCTGTACTCCGATGCTTTCCGTCAATCCTCATTGCAGCACACTGCCTCACACTGGGCAGCCCGCAACTCTCAGATGACTGCGATGCTCCCAGCCCCCTTGGATTCTCGCTTCCAGTCTTCATCACTTCTGTGCGGTCTCACACGCTGGGACTGCAGCGAGCTGTGTTCAACGTGTAACTGTAACCTTGACTCCCCAGCACCCTAGGAATAAACCCAGAACCCCTCAACATAAGCGTCGCTAACCATGGATAGTGTTGGGGAGGAAGCTAATCTTCCTCTATTCTTTTAGGTCCTTATGGATGAAAATTAATTAAATTGGCACAAGACAGGTTAATAGGAGAGAAAAAAAATTTAATCTCCTATTCATGAAGGTGCCATTGTGAATATGACATATTGCTGTAAATGACCCAAACAGCAAGTTTATATAATAAAATTTTCAACAAAGAAGCAATAGATCTGTAAAGAACAGATAGGACAAAGAAATGTTTGAAAGTTTGAACAACTGATTTCATGAGTTAAGTAGAACTTGTTGCATAGTTTCATATCCCTATTTCTGTCCGCAAGGGTGTCTCAGATTTGTGGATGGGGAAGGAAGGGAAATACCTTTCACACATTTATTTACTGTTTTCAAGGGGTACAGACAGAAGAAGAGCTAGAGAAAATTCCCACTTTTAGTTGAAAGTGAAATTTAGGAAATCAGTAATTTCATGGACTGTTTTTTTAGTTTAAAACAATCTGTATGCCACTTTGGCACATCTTGGGACAGCCTGATCTGGAATCACAATAGAATTCATGGGTGGCCTGTAAATTTGGAATGGGAAAACTTTTATCTTTATTCTTATTTATCTCCCTTTGAAATTTAACACCTCAATTTCCATTGTGCTTGTGAGCAACAAGCCACAGTAGGTCTGTTAAAACCTGTTATTTTGTCCTAACAAAAGTCACAAATTTTCATATCCAATTTCTATCTCTGCAGATAGCAAAATGTCATTTTATTCACAACAAAATGCTAGGAAAAAGTTATTCTACCATCTCTGCTTTAAAATTGCAGTAATTTTTTAGGCCCATCAGTAGCTCTTATTTGTATTAATATCCCAAATTTGTTTTTTTTTACTATTGATGATAACTAAATTCAGTATCATTGGTTTTCTCTGTAACCTAGGCATTGTATTTTATGCATTTTAAAACATATTCTGAGAAGGGATCCAGACTTTCAGAGCTAGCTGGCATCAGCCAAGGCAAAACAAGTTTAAGATCCCTGCTTTTATTTAAAAGGACTTTAAAACCCTTTGGTAATCCATTCCCTGCCTGACTTTCCCTTCCTGCCTCCCAGCCACACTGCACCTCCGGAAAGTAGTCCCCCACCCACACTATGCCCTCTCATCTCTGGTACCACAGTTCTGCAGTTTTCTCTTCAGCTTCCATGTAAAGATCTCTTTCCATTTCCACCACTCACTAGTACTAGCAATTAGTGAGAACTCAGGCAAGGTACCTAACTCGCACTCTGCCTGGATTTCTTCATCTGTAAAATGGGTGTAATGGTAGGTAGTAGACACCCCATCAGGTTGAAAAGTAACTGAGATGATGAGTCTACAACATCTGCAGTACTTGGCATATATTATAGGCCTAATAAATGGCAGAATTTTGTGTTCGATCTCTCTACATGGACTACTTTCTCCCTCCTGCCTAACGCTCAATCATCCTTTAATCTAGTTGAGCTCCCACCTTTTAAGGGAAACGGGGTTGCATGCCTTCTCTGTACCGCCATCATATTTTGTATGATTCCTTTCCTTGATAGTGCTTTCCTTTCTTCCTACTATTGCCCCCTTACATGTCTTTTTCCTTTCATCCCTGCATCCCTAACATCTTGAGTAAACCAGGGCACCTACTTGCTACACAAATATTTATTAAAAGTTTACATATTGTGACCTTCATAAAGGCAGGGTTCTGGGCTGTCCCTTAATTTTGGTATCCACAGGGCCTGGCTCTGTGCTCAGGAAAATAGTGCTGGAATGAATGAACTTGCCATAAAGGCACTTCTCTAATGAATGAGCGGGGAGACTCACCCCGGACCCGTGCTTGATTCTGCCTTGACAGAATGAATTCCCATATGGCAGTGAATGCTGGTCCTGGACAAGTAACATAACTCCTGGGAGCCACAGTTTCCTTATCAGTTAAATGTCTAACTCCTAAGTTTTTGTGAGTCTCAAGCAATTTTGTTTTTTAATTATCTATACTTTTTGTCATCTGTCTCCACCTACTGGAATGTAAGCTCCACGAGGGCAGGATCGTTGTGTAAGTTGTTCAGCAACTAGGACACCACCTGGGTCATATTAGACATCCAGTATTTAGCTGAGTGAATGACCACCATCTCCAATGTCTTTGCTTAAAAAATGTAATCAACATAACTGAGCCACCTTTTTTTGTCTTCTCCCAACATGGTAGCACACAACAGGCACATAGTAGGCACTCAATAAATGCTGGAATCAAGTTACACTTAGTAACTTAGTTACCTGTTCGGCATGCTGGTTGGAGTGGGGAGGGCCCTTGAACCAAATGGCCTGGGTCTTCATCCCATCTCTCACTTATTAACTGTTTGACTCTAAGTTATTTTACATCTCCTTGCATCAGTTTCTGCTTCTGCAACATTGGGATAATAGTGACCTGTCTAATGTGGTTGGTGGGAAGATTCAATCATTTATACATGTAAATCACTTAAAATATTTCCTGGCATATAATAGATGTTTCTTGTTTTTCCTCCTTAAATGTCTCAGTTTCCATTATTTCCACAGATGCTGCAAATAATCAGTTGCCAACCACACAACCAAGTCTCAGGTACTGTGCACTTTCATCCATATGTTCAACAAATACTGTTCCTTGCTAGGTTAGCCCCTGGGATGTCAGCATGAACAAGACCCACGAAGTTCCTGCCCTCAAGGGGGCAGCTTTTGAGCTGGCAGGAAGTGAGGTCCTTTTGTGTGTGTTATAGGCATAAGGTGGATGAGCATGAGCAAGATGGCAACGAGCTTCAGACCACCCCTGAATTCCGAGCCCACATAGCCAAGAAGCTGGGAGCGCTACTGGACAGGTAAGCAAGAACGCATTTCTCTCCCAGCCCTCCTGAATGTACACCATAATGGCTCACATTGACTGGGAGTTCCAGATGTGCTCCCATACTTTATACATCCCCTCGTAACTCATCATCCCCCTCCCACGTCAGTCATATGGTCCTCAGACCTCTCAGTGAGGAAGCAGATTCTCTACAAGAAGTGTTTGCATGAAGTCACAGGGAGTAAGGAGCAGAGCTGGGACACAACTCAAGTATGTTTGACCCAAAAGCAGCGCTCTTAACCACCTTGTTGGCCTGCTGTTGTGAGAATGGACGCACCTGAGATCGCCACAAGAGGGCAAGCGATTACGAGACAGAATTGCTCTTTCTTTGGTGCTTTCTCTAGCCAGGCACTGTGCCAGTTCTCTTCCTTACACTTGAGATTACACATGTGTAAAGCAGGTGCCAAGGGATCCTAGTCCAAAGTGTGGCTCTAAAAGAAAGGGATCCAACTGTAAGGAAGTTGAGAAACTATTGGGGGATACCTTTGGCACCCCAGGAAGGTAGTTAGGAGAAAGCACCCAGAGCCTGGCTGTGTCTGCTGCGGGCCCTGTCGAGAGCATTGTTCTCTGTAGCACATGCAGACACCTCCGTCAGCCTTCACCCGAAACAGGCTTCCTGACCTCGGCAGTGCTCCCTGCTTTCTCTAGGCTCCTAGAGAGAGGGTTTGTTTTCATGTTAGAGGTTCTGCAAAGCTTATTGCCTGTCTTGACAAAGTAATCATTTTCATCTTCTTCATAGTCCATTTACTGAGTACCTGCTTGTGACAGGCCCTGCGCTAAGTGCTTGATGTCCACTGTCACTTTTAGTCTTTGTGACACTTTAGTCCCCTCCTAAGAGAGGGGACTGGGATCATTCCCAGTGTGTAAGTGGGTAGCAGAGGCTTGGAGAGAAAAGTCTCCTGCCAAAGGAGACACAGCTAGTAAGTGACAAAGCCAGACTGAAACCAGGTCTCTGAGGTCTGAATAAAGTAGATGGATTTTATCAATGTCAGTTACCTGGTTGTGATAGAGCTTCCGTTATGTACAGTGTTACCTTAGGGAGAAATTTGGTGAAGAGGATTTTAGGATCTTTGTATTATTTCTTGCAAATGCATGCCAATCAAGAACCAATTTTTTTTTTTTAAATTTAAAAATTTTAGAAAAACATAACAAATCTGTCCTCCCCTAGAACCTGACCTCTAAAACACATGTCTAGACTGGCCATATTTCCCTTTTCTTGCTTGCTGCCAGGAAACTCAGAACACAATGTGTGCCCTCTAACAAGTCTCTAGGACATCCTGACCACACATCTGGCTCTTCAGACCCTCCTGCCATTATTTTCTCTTTGCCCTACTTGAAATTGCATTCCTTATGTTGTATCTTTAAAACTTCTTCAATACTTTCTGGAATAAAGTGAGGCTTAAATAAATGAAACACTAGTTTAAGCTGTTCAGTAGCTGTAGGCACCAGCATTCTTCTCAGGCCATTGTCCTCTGCTGTTGCATTTTTTTTTTTTTTTCTGCTATTGCATTTCAAAAACATGATCCTATTCCCACCATTTTAAAATAAAGTTGTTCTAGGGCCTCCCCTGATGGGGCAGGCGGTTGAGCGCAGCGCTGTGAAGCTGTCCGCCGCCTCTGCAGCATGTGTTCAATCCCAGCCAGCCGGAGAGAATCCCACATGGCGAAGCAGACCTCTCCTGTCTCGCCCACTGCTCCACTCAGCAGTGTATTTCAGTCAATCTGCCTGTTCTGCTCCCCACTCTGTCTCTGGTGAATCCTCTCACCCTCCCCCACATCTGGCCTGTACCCCGATTCTTGTATGTGTGAATAAATAAATCTTAAAAAGAAAAACAAGTTGTTCTAATTTTTTGTTGTTATCCAAAACCTCGTCCTAAATCAGCCATCTCTTTTCCCCTTAGCTCCATTACCATCTCAGAAGTAGTGAAGGAACCAGCAAAGGTTGGGGTACAAAATGTTGACTCCGAGGATGACGGTAAGTAGCTCTTCATGCTGATAGTAACAGCTCTGCTTTGTTAAACGCCTCCCGTGAGCCTGGAGCCAGGAAGCGTGGTTTGGTGTGTTCTTTCATCCGCAGCCCTGCCCTGAGGCACATATGATGCTTCCATTTATAGGGGGAACTGTAAGGAAAACTGAGACTCTTAAGAAATGAAGCCATTTCTCTGAGGTCCCCTCGCATGTCTGACTCAGAGCTGACTCTGCCCCTTGGAATTTTAGGCTTCCGCCTTTTCTTCACGTCCATCCCTGGAGTCCCTGAGAAGGAAACTTCCTCTGTGCCCCGCCGAAAGCGATTGCCTTCCAGCTCCAGGTACGTTCTCCCACCAGTTCCTCAAGTTCCCTCCATTTTGACCCTTTTCTGTCTTGGCAAGAACCCCCAAATAGCCAGGCAGATTCCAGTCAGGTCCAGGCCAAGAAGGAGCCTTGTCAGGTAGCTGGAGAAATAGTAACCCTCAGTAGGAGGGGATAGGCATCTGGTAAGAGTGGATAGTACATTTACTCTTCCTGAGCACCCAGCTTGTGCCAGACAACTCACTCCTGGGACATGCCTGTGAAGCCTGGGCTCTTTTTTTTAGAGAGAAGAATAGAAGGTCCCTATTTTATAGATAAAGACACTGAAGGTCAGAGAGGTTGAGTCACTTACTAAGGTCACACAGCAGGAAGCACAGAAGCCAGTATTGGAACCCAGGTTGGCCTCATTCCCAAGCCCAAGCTTCCTAACTGCCTCCCACTGTGGCCTCTCTCTGGTGGCTTGGACTGAGGGAGGCCAGCAAGCAGCAGCTGTGAGGCCCCATCCCAACTCCAGCTGACCCAGTCTGCCCTCCCCTTGCAGCAGTGAGAGTGGTGATGAAGAATGGCAGAGGTGCCGGGAGGCCGCCGTGTCGGCCTCTGACATTCTCCAGGAGTCTGCCATCCATAGCCCTGTCAAGGTGGAGAAAGAGGCAAAAAAGAAGAAGCAAAAGCTGAAAAAGAAAGCCAAGAAGGAGGCCAGCGCCGACCTGGCCACCATAAACAAGGCCATGGTCGGGAGGCAGGAAAAGGAGTCAGCCCAGCTCAACGGTGACCAGGTATCATTTGGAACCAAAAAGAAGAAAAGGAAGAAAAAGGCAAAGAAAGCCAGTGAGGCTTCCCCATTCCCACCAGCACAGAGCGCAGCAAGCGTGCCTGCAAACTGACCCAGCCTCTGGGCTCGGGGCCCAGCAGCTCTGAGGACAAGGCACCCCCGAGAACAGCCATTTCCAAGCCCTGCCTCCCTACAAGTCCAGACTCAGTCATGGTGTGGTTTGTCTGAGGCATTGGTCATAGGGTGAGTTTCCTGAGTGATACAGTGCCCTGCTGTGTTCTGCTGCAGGCTGGGGTAAACCTGTGACACCAGAACATTCCATGGCCTCCAGAAGTGCCTCCCAGCCTTTCAAGACTGATAGCCACTCAGTAAAGCTCCCTCCATCTCCCCAGGACTGTCTGAGGCCAGCAAGTGAAGGGAGGCCTTCTCTTCCCCTCCACCTCCTCAGCCTGGTGTGGGTGATGACCTTTAAAACATGAGGGAAGGGGATCCCGAGATGCCAGCGCCCACAGAGTTTTGTACTTCTCCCTTCAGGCCACACAGACTTGATACAACATTGTCTGAAAAACAAGGAGAGAGATTTTTTTTTCCCCCTTGTTTTCTAGAATTTTCTTTCTGCCTATCTGTGAATATACCAGGCACAATCGTGCCTGAGCCAAACAGATTATTGGAAATAAGTTGTCGGGACACAAAATACAACAGAGTGGTGTGGGTGCTGCGTCCCTACCAGAGCTGACTCTTTGTATGTTAGGTAAGTGTCACAGTCGGGGTGCCCTTCTGCCTGTACCCCAGCTGTGTTCCTTTGCACACTTCAAGACTGTAGGGAGAATCCCAGCACTCGTGGACTGGGTTGCTGTAGACAGTCTGCAGAAGCAGCCAGGGCGCAAGGTGAGATGCGGGCCTTCTCACCCGGCCTTGGCTCTGGTGGGGGAGAGGGGCGGGGTGTGAGGGTGTTCTGAGCCGGCTACTCAGGCCCCAGCCCCCTCAGCCTCCCTCTGCTCAACCGCATGTAAGGGCCAGGGGAACAAGCAAGAAATTTCCTTATGTTCCTCATTTACTTTACTAAAAGTTAAATAAATGCACAGGCTCACCCACAATGGTACTGGTTCTCCCGGCTGCTTTCTCTAGCCCAGGAGGGAGATGGTCGCTGCAGGCCAGTTCATCTGCAGCAGCCCCAGGGAGATGAGGGCCCCAGGCACATGACCCTGCCCCCCAGTGGTGCCTGGGGCCTCACACTCTTCAGGGTGGCTACAAACCGCCTAGACCACGCCCCCGTCCTCAACCAGCCAGGCTCCCATGCTCCCAGGCACTGCTCTGGCCACACAGCTATTTCCTCTCCCTTCAGGCTCCTGCGCTCCACCAGCTGCTCTGCCTTGCTGAGCTCAGCAGCTTCTCCCCCAAACTGAGGAAGGGTCTGCAGGGTCCATAGTCTGAGAAAGGGCTGCCCAGGGACCTGGACTTAGCACCAGGCACGGAGTCTCTAGGCTCCCACAGGAGCACAGGGCGTCCCAGTCCAGAAGGAGATGTCCGGTGGAGGCAAGATGCCAGGCTGGCATAAGAAGGCGTGATGCTCAGGGGGACAAATGTCCAAAATGAGGTCATGGGGACTGAGGAGAGGGATGACTCAGGATGAGGATGCTGGGAGAGCCCAGCAGGCCTTCCCTATCAGCTTGGGGTCCCCCAGGGCTCGGCGCCTCAGGCCCTAGTACAGAGGAGCCACTGAGGGAATATAATGTGAGTGGATGACGGGCAGGTCCAGATGGGCATGTGGGTTAAGGAGGGCAGGTGGAGTGGCCTGGTCAGGTCAAAGGTGACAGAACGAGGCCATGTTGATCTAGGCCCTCTCAGAGCTCAGCAAGTCACGGCTACACTGGCCTGTGTCCTGAGGTGTGGCAGCAGAGTCCCCTTCGTGGTACCAGGACTGTCCACAGGCCCAGAACCCAGAGTCTGTCCCCTTCTGCTGCCAGTGACAAGCAGCAGCAATGGGTCATCCCAAGCTGTGCTCCTTGGGCACCTTAGAGCCTCCCTTTCTGACGCTGGCAGAGAGGGTTGGGGACCATGGCAGGTTTCCAGGGAAGAGCAGCAACCCCACGGCAGCAAAAGTTGCAGGCTCAGATGTCCTTGTCACCCCCCAAGCAGGCTCTAGGGCCCACTCCCTGGGAGGCAGTTGCCATGGTTACTGGGAGGAAGAGGCCATCTGCGTGGAGATGAATGTCTCGATGACGCTGTGGTTGGATGGCAGCAGGTGGCTGTGGCCGTTGGTGGAGTCAGAGCTCTGGTACAGCACCAGGCTGCTGGAGGACACTGCGGGACAAATGATGCTGCTGAGCACCCAGACCACCCACTGGTCCTCAGGGGGTCCCAGCACGGGGGAGGCAGTGCCTCGCCTGCTGAATTGAATCTCAGCAGCTAACGGGATCCCAAAGCAAAACCTCTCTGTCCTCATTAGCCCCAGCCCAACTCAGGGGCCAGCCTGGGAGTGGCCTTAGGACATTTTTAGCAGGAGCTGATGGCGTGGGGGGCTCGGCTGTCCTGCCCGGTCATTGAGCTCTAGGCTCCAGTTCCCTGAAGAAGGAATTCTGCCTCAAGACTGCAGCCTTCACTCCTCCCTCCTCACCTGCAGGCTGGCCTGCTCCAAGCTCTCGGATTTGCCAGCCCCTCAGTCCTGCCACCCAACTCCTTACATGTATAGATTCCTATTGGTGCTGTGTCTCCGGGTGGAGGGGGGTCTGACAGATGCAGATGGCTAAAGAATGGGCTGGCCTGGGTTCACATGCTCACCCTGCCACCCAGTAGCCAGGCCAAGTCTCAAGCCTGCTGGGGCATCATCACAGTGGGGGTGATGAGACAGGCACCTCACAGGGCAAAGCATGGACTGCCCTGGCAGCCACCAGGCATCTGAGGCTCAGGGAGGACAGCTTAGCTAAAGTCACGCAATTAGCAAGCGGAGGCGCCAGGCCTCAAGGCCCAACTGCCGTCTCAAGTGCCCGCTCTCTTAACTGTGACCATAGGCTGCAGACTCAGGTCCTTGGGGGTTGGGAATGAAGGACTAGGTGGGACGTGGTGGCTGCTGAGCTGCCGTGCTCTGGGAATGGAGTCAGTCTAATTTTCCCAGAGAAGCCAGATGTCAGGACTACATTGCAAAAACCCCTGATGTTTAAATATTGGCAGCAAATTAAAAGAGTGCTAAACCCTGAGCCAAATCTACACCGCCATGCGTCCCCTTATCCCACAGCAAGCCCAGTTTACTCATTGGTCTCTACTGACCCTCCCAGTGACTCGGTCTTTCTCCTCCATCAAGTCAGCGAGATGTTCCTGAGGAGGGAACCCATCTCCCTCCGTTTCACACCCCTCTTGGCCCACTTAGGGAAGCACAAGGCACCACCAATGCCTGGCTGTGGCTCCTCCCACTCCCCTCCCCCCGCCGTGGTGACAGCAACAAGGGGACCGCTCACCAGTGGGGCTGGTGCTGAGCCGATGGGCAGGCTGCAGGTGCTGGATGCCAGGGTCCTGGCTGGGGATGTGGATGGTGGTAGTCTGGGACACCGGCGTGTGAAGTCCGGACTCACTAGAGGCCTCTGTGTCTGAGGTGAAGACCTGGGGGAACGGTAGCCTCCTGAGCCCCTGAGGTATACCCCAGGACAGGTCTTGAGGGAGGGCCAGGGCAGGCTTGGGCCTTACCTGCTTGGTGGGCGTGAGGCTAGCCAGGGCACTCAGGTTGGTGGTGTCGGTGATGAGCATGGTCTGCGGAAGCAGGCCCGTGTGGGTGTACTGGGTCACCTCAGGTTTGTGGCTGTAGAGGGCTGGGCAGGGGGAAGGAGATAGGGTATAGACATGCACCTTGGGCGGGGCTGGAGCCCTCCCAGGAGGTCCTCAAGGCCTGGTGCTCTGGGGGGAGAAGGGTGGGACCTGGTAAATGCCCAATGGGGCAGTGCCTGGGGACTCAGGGCTGGTTTCCAGGTAGAAAGGTAGACGCTCTCCCCGACTACAGGGGCCCGCTCAGCCCATCTTGGTGGAAAGAAGCCTAGGGCAGCCAGGAACCCACACTCAGCTCCTCCCATCCCCCGGAGATGACAGGTGTGAAAGGGAGTGGGAGATGGGGGTGTACTAAGTCCAGGCTGCAGAGGAAAAGGCCACTACCCCTGCTAGGGGTGAGGGGGAGCCGAAGTCAGCAGCGTCGCCATCTCCAGGACACTGCTCCTAAATGTACCCGTCTCACCTACGGCACCCCTCCCCCCCCTGGAAGAAAACACACACACGGAGATACCAGCAGAAAAACACATAAACCGCATATTCTCACACTGACTCAGATGAAGACAACCGCCCACATACGCTCATAAATCTGTGCAGCCACATACACACAGACGCACACTCCCTGACGCCCCGGCCCAAATGCCTAAAAGGCCTGAAAACCAACACGCTTTCATAGGGTCTGCACTGGGGCTCCTGGCACAATCAGACCTGAACTTGGTGCGAGTGCTCAGTAAAGCGACTCCATGGCATTCTACCTCCTGCTGCAGAAATCGCAGTGCTTTGAAGACCAGGTGCCCCCCCATCCCCAGGCCTGCTGAGGTGTTATAGAATATGGGGTGTGGCTACCACATTGCACTCTGACACCTGAGAAATTGTGAAACACCCAAGGTTTCAGAGAAAGGCTGCGCCCTGTATCCCACTCGTGGGCAGGCACACACAAACAGCGACGAGCCCTCAGATGCACAGCCCTTCACACACTCGTGTGTACACGCAGCCACATGTACTCACACAAAACATGTTCTGGCCTGCAGTCACGCCCTGTCACAGAAGCACGGACACTTGTACCACGCATTCTCAGACCCCACGGGATCTAAGCCACACCCTTCCCCTGTGCACATTGGCAGCCAACCTCTTCCCCCACCTGCCAAGCCCGGGGCCCAGGGTGCTCACCGTGAGGGCTCTGCAGCTGGGCCATGGTGGCCATGAAGGGGCTCTGGGTTACATGGCTCTGCACTGGGGGCATGAGTGGCTGCTGGTAGGAGGGGTGCAGTGGCTGGGAGAACTGGACCGGCTGCAGGGTGGTGAGGCTGCTCCCCATGCTGTTGATGACTGGCACACTCTGTGCCTGTGTAGAGGCCAGGCCTGGAGCGGGAGGGCAGGAGTCAACCAGGCCTCCCACCACTACTCCCTAGCACCAGCACAGACCCCCGCACCCTCCCTCCCAGCACCAATGAGTTGGGACCATGCCCTGGGACAGGAAACACCCATGCTCTGGGACCTCCCTGACTTCCCTGGCCCTGGCAAGTCTCTCCCAGTTTCTAAGCCTTGAGTTCATTATAGAGCTGGGGTGGATGTGAAACCAGGTTCCCTGGGGCCCTGGGGTGCTACCACAGAGCAAAGGCCCTGGGGCTTAACTGTTTCCTCTCCTAGCACTTCCCTCTCCGTCTTCTATATTGAATTCTGCATGTAGTTCCTGCAAAAAGTCTTTCTGATCTTAAAAAAAAAAAACTAAAACTTGGAAAACGTCACCCCCCCCCCCATTCCTTGCTCCGTTTTCCATAAACATTGTGCCTTTTCAGATGCTATTTATGTTTCCTGTATATTGCCTGCTCCCCACTAGAGTTGCTGAGCTTTTGGTTGGTTTGGCTCTTTCGTGTGATCCGTGTCAGGGACCAAGCATGGTGCTCGGCATAGGGTAGACACTCAATGCATGCATGGATGGACAGACAAATAGACCAGCCCCTGTAGCCCTTCCAGCCCCTGGAGTCTATGTGAGTCCTATGTGGCCCCTACCCAGTCGCTCCCAAACCCCCATCTCACCAGCTTACCAATGACCAGGGTGGAGGCGCCTGTGTTGGTGAACGTAGGGCCTAGGGAGGCAGGCTCACCCGGCCCGATGGTCATGACCCCGGGAAGCGAGGCCATGATAAGATTCTGGGGCTGCTGGTTGAGGCCTGGGGATGTCTGCTCCAAGCTGTGCAGTGCTGTCAGGGTGCTGACAGGGGGGAGGGGACCTCCAGTCGCCGAGACCTTGGAGGGGAAGCCACACTGAGTCAGGTTGGAGCCCCACACCTCCCCCCTGGGGGCCACTGCAGGATCTCCAGCCAAGGGAAGGTGAGGTTGGAAGGGTCTTCCCGCAGCGGTAGATACTCACCAGCTTGGCTTCTGTGCTCAGCAGGCTGTGGCTTGGCTCCAGGCCAGTGGGGGACACTTGCAGGGGAGTAGATACCGTCACCAAGGGCCCCCCGCTGCTTGAGGGTACTTCCGTTCCCTCACTGGTTGTGGGCTGTCCGTAGCGTACCCCTGGAGCAGGAGCAGGCCAGCCTCAGCACTGCCCTGCCCTGCCCGCCCCACCTCCACAGCCCACATCTCTCCAGGCTACATGGCTTGCTTAGGCAGGCGTGCCATCTTTGGGCAGCCAGCTAACCTGGCCTGCATGTGCCCCTCCTGCCAGGCCCTGTGCTCCCTGCTCCTGACTCCTCCTTAGGAGGCTGTGCTTGATCAGCCTGTGACTGCCACCGCCTACAGCAACACCTGACCGCAGTAAGTGCTCATTAAACGACAGTTGAACCAAATGGAATCCAGTCTAATGAAATGAAACTGCGCTGAACAGAACTGAATAGAATGAAGTAGAGTTCACGGAATGAATCTGAATCCAGTTGAATGGGACCTGAAATGAATGGAGCTTGATTGAGCTCAACTGAATCGAATCAAATTGAATTGGATTGACTTGAACTCTACCAGATGAACCAAATTTCTCTGGATTACGTGTAGGGAAACTGAATGGATTGGATGGGAATGGATTAAACTATACCAAGTTTAAGTGAGCTAACTTGGATAACTGAGTTGAGAGCAGCACTGCATTGGATTGGATTGTGTGGACTCAATCTGAAACGAAGGAATGGAAATGAAGAACTCAAATGAAGGTGGATGGATTGAATAGGATGGAGTGGAGTGGCTGGAGTTGAACTGTCACTGGAGCGGAGAGAGTAGCCTGACTAGGGTAGAGTAGAATATGGAACCAACCGAAAGTGCTACCCGGCCCTCCAACCTACCCTCTGTCTCCACTACCATCTCCTTGAATCCCCCTGCCTGTGTAGCACTCACCGTGGACTTTGCTGGGGGAGAGGGTGGGTGGGGGCAGGCCCGGGGAGCTGTGGGCGGGCAGTGCAGAGCCCGGGCCTGGTCCAGGCGGGGGCCCGTTGTACGTGTCCATGGCCAACTTATGTCGGAAGGCTTCTTCCTTGCGGCGATTGGCAAACCAGTTGTAGACACGCACCTCCGTGACGAGGTTGGAGCCCAGCCCCTGGGCCTGTGATGGCGACACCCCTCTCTGGATGCACTCCGCTCTGCAGAAATGGCCATTGGTGAGCCCCCAGGCCAGGCTCAGAAAACCCTCTCCTGGGGTTGGGGGGAGGGTTCTGCGAAGTGAGGTTCTACCTGAATGTTTGAGGCTGGCAGATCTGGGTTCCAACCCCAGTTCTGCCTGTGTGACCTTGAGCAAATGACATCGCTATTTTACTCTTCATTCATAAAACGAGCAAAATAGCCACAAGGTTGTAGTGAGGATGAAGAGAGAGAAGGAGCCGTTCAAGGGTTGCTTGGGTAGGTGGGGCCTGGGGGGTGCTGTGGAGCTAGATTCCAGTCACTGAGCAGGACTTGAGAACTCCTGGGTCAACAGCTGAAGCTCTGAAGAACAGGGTAGCCTCCCTGAGCCCTTCAGCCCCCCTTTTCTCCCCCAGTCCAGACCCCGCCAGCCCTGTACCCACCGGCCAGCCTACCTATTGCACTCCTCCACCAACGCCTCTCGCTCCTCCTTGCTGGGGTTCTTCTGCCTCTCGTAGGCCTGGAACAGAATCTGCTGGGATGCTGGGCCCCACTTGAAACGGTTTCTCCGCCCCTTCTTGGTTGGTAGCTCATCGCCCGTGGGCTCTTCAATCAGCCCACCCTGCCCTGCATGGGTGAACTCTGCAGGCACAGAGAGATGTGAGCAGGGAACCGGCCACTTCCACCTTCCCACATGGCTTCCCTGACACCCCATGTTTTCCCATTCCCAGGGTGCAGATACAGAAGTGTTTACATCTAGAACTTAAAAATCATCTAATCCAGGGATGACATACACACACCAAACATGCCACCACTTTCTTAACCTGTGTCCAGGGAAGACATCACTAATCAAGCCCTATACGCTGCTGTACTGAGCCAAGACGTTCTCTCCCAATCCTTCCCAATACCAGGCTCCAGTCAAGCACACGTGTTTATTCATAGCTGACACACTTGCTAGCCCATTTTACAGATGAGGAAGCTGATGTCAGGGAGATTATTTTGCCCCGGGTCACACAGTGGGGCAGTGTAGGGTAAAGAAAATATCAGGCTTTTCTGCCCTTCCGCCATCAGGATAGATGATGGATCCTTGTCCTGAACGCATGCCTGATGGCGGGCACCTGGAATAGGGTGTGGGCATAGGAAGATGGGATTCAGCTGAGCTAAGACTGTGCTTTTAAGGGCGGCGTCACAGGGACGCTAGAAGCCGAGAGAGCAGCAGTAGAAGCCAAAGAGAAGCTGAAAGAGAAGCAGCAGAATGAACAGAAGAGCAGAGAAGCAAAGAGAACACCAGACAGCCCAGAGGGTGAGGATTTGCTGGGGGCTGGGAGGACTGCCAGCCTCCCGGCCCCCCAGCACCCCTGCCTGCCATATGCCTGGTAAACCCCAATAAAAGACCTACAAAAGCTACTGAGGACTCTGACTCCTCCTTTACCCGGTCTGCATGGGATCAGAAAACCTGCCCTGTGTCCAGGTCCTGCCCTTACAGGCAGAAACTTGGATTCTATCTCCTAAGGAGATTCAGAGCTATTTGCAACTTTCCAGACCAAGAAATCAGGCTTATGGGCAAGGGTTAGCCAGGAGAGAAGGAAGCCAGCCAGCCCTTGTCAGCTGGTTCCACTTTAGTGGAAACTAGTCTATTAGGTTTTCCCTGAGCAGGCCACCAGAAGGATGGGGCAGACAGGGGCCAGCATGTTTTTATGAAAGGGGAGAAAGAAGATTCTTAGCGGGGAAGCAATAGGGGTGCCCCAACATCACGTACCAAGAGGCAGAAGCCGGCACCAGTTAGACCCTTCAGAAGTCAACCAGAGACATGACTAGAAGCCAAGTTGGCCAAGAATCCAACAATCTCAGCAGCTGTGGCTGGAGCATCCATCACACTGACGCCCAGTGAGCCTGACTATCTACACCCACAGCCTCGATATGATCTGGCACCAGGACCCTATGACTTAGCCCCCCCAAATGAAAATATTTCAGGTAAAAAAGTGACCTTGCATAGGCCATGCAAAACAGGGAAAATCTGAGAAACGGTCGCAACCACGAAGAGACTAGGGCGATATGACAACTAAATGTAAGATGTTTACAACTGGATGGGTCCTGGACCAGAAAGAGGCCATGGGGAGAAACCTCAATCTGAACCCATTCTGGCCCTGACTTAATGGTAGTGCACCAGTGTCGACTTGTTCATGGACCACACCAGTAGCATCAACAGAAGACTGACACATGGTTGTACTTTCTATGTTGTGATACGTATTCGTACAATAAAGGAATCCAGAGAAAAGAAGATGTTATTAAGAAAATCATAAAAAAAAGACATTTCTAGTACTGGACTGTATTTATGAATACCATGCATTTATGTCCACTGTTTACATGAAAATCCACATATAAATGAGTCCACACAGTCCCAACCTGTGTTGTCCAGGGATCAACTCCATATGTACACACATCCATACATATATATGTATATATCTGTATATATTGTTAATGCATGCATAAAATATCTCCGGAAGGAGACATATGAGATGGAATGCCAGTGGTTCCTTTGGGAGGAATTAAATTAAAATTAAGCCTGTATTGCCTTTTTAAAAACCTGGATAACTAAAAAATATCTAAATAGGGCCTCCCCGGTGGCACAGCGGTTGAGCGCTGGGATGCGAAGCTGCCCACAGCCTCTGCAGCGCTGGTTCAATCCCCGGCTGCTCCCCAGCCACAGGAGGAGGGTCCCGCATGGCGCGCAGACCTCTCCTGCCGCCCGCTGCTCCCCTCAGCAGTGGACTTCGGTCCTTCTGCCTGCTCTGCTCCCCGCTCTGGCTCTGGTGAATTCTCTCGCCCTCCCGCGCTTCTGACTGTACCCAGTGCTTGTATAAATAAATAAATAAATCTTTAAAAAAAAAAAGTGTGGATGTGAACTTAGGATTTGGTAGAGCATAAAGCCTGCCTACGGAAACCCATCATTTCCTGAATAATAGGTCCTCCATGGTGTGCAATGGGGGATTCCCTGTGCATCCATTTCTGAGCCTTTACGCATGCTGTTCCTTCTGCCTGAAACACCCTTCCCTGCATGTCCATGGATCAAAGTTCAACTTACACTTCAAAATCTAGTTGAAAGCTTCTAATTCTAGTGTGATCCTCCCCGATGCCCTGCCTCCCTGAGGAAGAAGAGATCCCTCGCTCCTCTTGTGCCAGCTCAACACTTCGAAATATTTTGCGTAGGGCTCCTCCCTGGGCCTTGCACACAGTGAGTGCTCTCGAAACGCTAGCTATTGTTATTTTGCTATTGCATTCTAATACATGTTCCCCTGTATCATAATGAGCTGTCCTTCTGCTGCCCCACTATGCAGAGAACTCCTGGAAGGCAGAGACTCAGTTTATCAATCTCAGGATGCTCAGGACCCTGCTCCCTGCCCCCAGAGCCCCTTGTGCATAATAAGTAATATATTTAATTGAATCCCACTGACTCCCTCTCAGTCTCAGTTGGAGAAAGGGGGTGGGGAAAATTCCAGGTCCCCACCCCTTGAGTCCCAAGCCCTGCCGGGGAAGGAGGGCTGTGGTCAGTCGTTACTTACGCTGGGCCACCTCTCGCTGCTTGCGGACATACCAGGTGTACAGAGCAGCCCGCTTCTGCGTCTTCATGGGGGTGCCCTTGTTGAGGTGCTGGGACAGGTGGGACTGGTTGAGGCCGGTGGTGTCGACCACCTCCCGCTGGGGGATGTTGTGCTGCTGCAGATAGGACTTGACCATTTTAGCCACGCGCCAGGGGTCCTCCCTAGAAGCAAGCAAGGCAGGCCCACTCAGTGCGGGGTACAGGCAGGGCAGGGTCTTGGGCACTAGAAACCCTGTCCGCCCTGGGAGGGCACATGGTGGAGGCCATCACCATGTCCGGAGCCCAGAGCCTACACTTGGACCCAGGGACAGGGAGGTGTGGGTTCTCATGCCAGGACACAGGGGCACGGTACACGGATGTGGGGTAACAGACTTAAAGACACACACACACTACAGACATGTTGTCACAGGCCTCGGTCCTCTCTCACAGACGTGGGAGCAGAGAAGGGTTTGGAAACATGATGCAGACACAGGACAGAGACAGACATGAACAGACTCCCAGAAGAAGTTGCACAGGCCATCTAGTTTCTTTGAAACTCGTCTCCTCAATTATAAATCAGAGACATCCTGCAGGGGAGGAGGCGGGAGAGGGATCAGAGGGAGGGAGGGAGGAGCAGAGGGGGCTGAGGTGATGGTGCACGGGTGCCTTGGGGAAGGAAACTCTATGGGGACTACACCTGAGGGGGTGGGGGGAAGCAAATGTTTAAAAATGAACAGTGATGTAAAAAAATTTTAAAAATAATATTAAATAAATAAATAAATAAACCTTTTCTCCTCATTCCACTGGAAGTGTTATTTCTGGCTGTATACTTATCCACTGTAAGCGACTGCAAACACCTTGAGGACAAGAACTGTCTGGTTCTCAGCACCCAAAATAGGCCTGACATAGAGTATACCCTTGATGAATGCATGAATGAATGAGTGTGTAGGTGGGGGGGTGGGAGGATGGATGGACAGATAGATGGACAGACAGAGGGACAAAAGGATGGATGGATGGATGGACGGACGGATAAGGGAGATTTATTGGAGAAAAAAATTGGATCTGAAAACAAGGTAAGAAACAGGATCCTCCCATTTCACAGCTGAGGTCCCTGAAGATACAGGTTAAGTGCTGTGTCTCTTACCAAGGTCACAGAAGCAACCCAGAAGAACCCATCCCACCCAAAGGACTCAGTCTAAGTCAAACTAGCAGGTGAAAATCACTCAGGGTCACACTTCCTGAAAGTTTACCCTTGATCCTGGGAGTGGCCTGACAGTTCCCTGCAACGCCAGGCCAGGCTGCCATGCGCAGGCTGTGGGCTGGCGTTCTGCAGCCTCACTGTGAGACATGCATGTTCGAGCACCAGATTCCCACTCCTTTTTTCTTTTAAGTTTTTTTTTTTAATTTATTTATGCATATAAGAACTGGGGTGTAGGCCAGCGGTGCAGGGAAGTAGGTGGTGAGTGGATTCACCAGAGACAGAGTGGGGACAGATTGACTGAAATACACTGCTGAGGGGAGCAGCGGGTAAGACAGGAGAGGTCTGCTGTGCCATGTGGGTCAGCTCCCTGGCCGGGGATCAAATTCATGCTGCACTGGCTGGTGATAGCTTGATAGCACTGACTTTAACCCTCTGTGCCACCAGGGAGACCCAGAACCACATTCTTTAGGCTGAGATTTTCTAGACAGACTCAAGGGACCTGGGTCAGCCATGGTTCATATTCCTGTCCTCTGCTTCGTGGGGGAAGGGAAAGAATCAGATGGCCTTTGATACAGACGTCTTCCCCCTTCCCAGCCTCCTCCCTCCCCTTCCTCCTCTCCTGCACTTGTGTTACAAATATGTGTCCCGTAAAAAGCAGTTCAAACAGGCAGAGCTGGGACCAGACTGGTCTGGCATTCAGTGCATCATCACCACCCCCCGCACTCAGCCATTTGCTCCTGGAACGTGTGTTCTGATGTTTGCAGTTGTGACAAACAGCACCTGTAGGAGGCAGTTTGTTGCACGTGGCTTGCCGCAGCGAAGGACTGGAAACAACAGAGGCGCCCAACAGGAGGGCGGTGGTTCAACTGCAGCACCTTCATTAGCTTCAAGCCTTGCACCCCCCCCCACCCCAGGAAGCCCTGCAGGTGCCCAGAGGGACCAGGGTCCCTCCGATAGGTTTGCCGTGTATAAATTTGTATAAAATTTAAAGTGGGGTGAAAGAAGATTTCTACATATTTGGTCGTGCTTGCGTGAAATACCAGAAGTGCCCAGAAGGAAGTGTCGACACTGATTGAAGGGAATGGGTGCAGAGGACAGGGTGGGTGGGGCGGTTACTGTCTCGTACTTTTTAAAAGTGTATAAGATATCATAATATGGGCACTATAATATAGCATAATGCTTATGTTATACTATGATGCTAATATGCCCTCATGTATTACCATAGGCGTGAGATGTTATTTTATTTTCCGCATGCACTACATATGCATATATAATATTTAAAAAAGAACTGTAAAAGTTACCAGCCAATAAGCCCCCCAGCACTCTGAAGCCCATTGAGTTGTCTTCTCTGCCAGCCCTTCTCTCCTCCCTCAGAGGTCCAGCACTCCTGGACCTTTCATCAGCTTTGGCCCTGGGGCTTCCTTCTGCTTTACTGTGGTTCTCGTACAAACAAAGAAACAAAGGTAGAGACAGATAAAACTTGAACTGGTCAGCAAAGTGCCGTTGGTGGAAAAATGATAGTGTGAGAATGAATGTTTCCTGAGTAGGTGTGTTTCTTGAGGGCACTGTGCTGGGAGCTGATCATATAAATCTTGTAACCCAACGAAGCAAGGCCTACTTATAAGCCCATTTTCCAGGTGAGACAACTGAGGCTTAGAAAGGCGAGACTCACTTGTTCCAGATGACCTGACTGGGACTCAAGAATAGCTCACTTATCTCTGACCCCCCCAGACCCTCGTAACTACTCTCTCTCTCTCTGCTTTTCCCCAATCCTCTCTTCTCTACCTCCCCTGCGTCCTGGGCGCCAGTCAGAGCCGTGAGGGAACGGCAGGACAAAGTCCAGTTCTGTGCTCCATGGCAAACATGGTTATCTGATTCTGGGGCTGAGCTGTCCCTTGGCCTCCCGCCTCCCCAACTCCCCACCCTCCTGCGTAATCCTCCCTTCTGCCCATCCCCCCTCCCCCCCCACACACACAGAAGGAGCCCCCCTCTCAGCAAAGCCACTCCTGGGCTCACACTAAAGATTTGCTGTCTCTGTCCATCTGATTCCTTCTCCCTGCCATCTTTGTGTGTCTCTCTGTGTGTTCCACCTCGTTCTCACCCATCTGGCAGTGCCAAGTCAACACACACACACACACACACACACACACACACACACACACACTTGACTTTTTTTCAGGACAGTTTCCCCAATCCAGAACTAAGAGGCAAGTCCCCAGTCATCTCCTGCTTTGAGTCTAATGGATTTGAGTCTCAAAATAACCAGGGTTTGAATCCCACCAGTGTGATCCCACACATGTGTGACCTTGCACAGCCCCTAACACAGGTGATCCGCACCTGCCCGCCGTGCCTTTGGGCAAAGTAAATGATTTTCAAATAGGAGTGAAACCTTAGCTCTGGGCGAGCACACTAAGCGCTCGGTTACCAGAACCCCATTGTCATCATCACCATCATCCTCATGCTCGTCCTCACCACTACCATGTAGCCCTGGGGCCCTGGCCCCACAGCAGAGAGCAGAGGGCCCAGGAGACAAGACCATCTGCTCCTTCTTCCTCCTACTGATTCTAGAGTCGGCTTCGAGGCTTTGGGACTCTCTGGAGCCAGCACCTGAGGTTTTAGGGACCAAGCCCCTGGAAGAGGACCCAAGTTCTCAGTGTGGAACCCTCTATCTCACTCTGAACCCCAGCACCTCAAGAGGCCTTGGAAGTTGCTTAACCTCCATATGCTTCAGTTTCCTCATCTGTGACATGGGTCAAGAATATTTCATGGGCTGTCAGGAACAGGAAATTAGTTTAAAGCCTCTGTACGCTCTTTGTGAGCACTGAAGCACTGCGTGAAAATGAGGTGATGGCGAAGGTGAGCAGCAAGAATGACTGGGAGGGTCAAAGAGAGATAAACACAATCAGGACAGGCGTCCAACCTCACGCTGAGCTGAATGTGGGGCTTGGGGGACCTGGGTCCAAGTCCTGGCCTTACTGCTTTGTAGGAGTGACCTTGGGCAAGTCACTTCACTTCTGTGAGCCTTCCTTTGCTCTTCTGCTGCTAATAACAGCAACCATGGACTACACTGATTCCAGGCACTTACAGCCGCCCCACATGTGCACTCTACACACACTGTGCTCTTTAACCCCATGCGTGGGTGTTTCTATTACCTCTACCTTGAAGAGGAAATGAGCTCAGAAAAATGAAATCACCTGCTCGAGCTAGAATGGGGCAGAGCTGGGATTCAGACCCATGCCAACTGGCCTCAGTCCGATGTCAGCTTGTCCTAGCTTGGCTGCTGACTCCTGGGTCTCAATGCCCTGGCACTACCAGATGGAGAAAATCAGAGGCCTCAAGGTTATACTTGGAGGTGGTCAGGGACAGGGAGGATTTAGAAGGATACCCAGGAAGGACCCCATGGCCACAGCTTTAGTCTCCTGGGCCCCTGGTCAATGGGGCAGCAGATATACCCAGGGACTCAGAGAATCCTATCTCTCATTCATTCATTCATTCATTCATGCTGTGTGCCAGCTGGGCTGACTATGAGTGGGTATAAGTGGTAAACAAGCCAATACAAGCCTTGCCCTTGAAGAACTGCTATTTTCATGGCAGGATAGAACACAGACAGACACATTAGATGATGATGATGATGATGATGATGATGATGATGATAATGGAAAAGATAAGGTAAAGGAAGGTAATGAAAGAGAGAGAACTGGGACTTGAGTGGCTATCTTTAGATGGGGGCAATCAGGGAGGGCTTCCCTGAGGAGGTGATAGTTGAGCAAAAGAAAGAGAAGGAATGGACCATGGGAAGATGTGGAAAGAGGATTCCAGGTAGAACTGCACATGCAAAGGCCCTGGGGTGGGAATCGGCAGAGTCAATGTAACTGAAGCAAGGGAGGAAGAGAGATCCCTTGGGAAGAGGTCAGGAAACCAGGCCAAGGAGTTGAATTTTATTCATTGACCAGGTAGGAAAACTGAGGCAGAAGGAGAAGAGATTTGCCCAAGGTCACATGGTGAAGTAAAGGAGAAGAGCTGAGGGAAGAGCACAAGTTCCTGCTGTAACCACAAGCTGGGGGCACCCAGACCTGTCCCCACATACCCCAGACACTGTCCTGTCAGAGAAGTGGCTTCCCCTGAAGCCCTGACTCTGCCCCAGCCTGCCCAGCCTTCAATTCCCTCCTTCAGACTTTATGGGGGTCCCCCACCTCAACCCCTTGCTTTTTTCCTGTGCCCTGAGGCTGGAAGCCCCACTTTTTTCCCTTGGGGCGTTTTCAGATCCCTTTTGTTACCTGAACAATAAGTAACCCAGGTAGTTAGTTATAAACTCCGCAGGAACAAGGAGCTGGTTGATAATTTATAGCAACATCTCAAATTTAAATGGAAAGTAAATAGCATGCTGTTAGCATTAAAGAAAACCCAATCGGGGCAGGCGAGAAACACTCCAGCCTCCTCTCAGCTTGGGGCGCCTTGCTCTCTCCCCAGCCCCTTCTCCCCCTGGGCGTGAGCCCCTCTCCCTTCCAGGCTCCTGCTCTCTGCTGCCCAGCAGCTCTCCATCTCCCTGGGCATCCTCGCTCTTCCTGCCTGTCTCCCCTCTCTCCCTCGGCCTCCAGGTCTCTGCTGGTCCCAGGGAGCACTTTGACCTCTGCTCCCCCCTCAGGTGCTGTGGATCAAGCCACCCCCCCACCCACCATCCCACCAAAGGGGCTGCTGATCAAGAGGCCCCACCCAGTCAGGTAAGAAAGGCCTTTGGCACCCCCAGCCCTCACTCCCACCCAAAGGCTCCCAATCCCATCTGGGGCCCTGAGCAGATCTGCCCAGCCCCACCCCGTCCCTGTCCCTGTTGCCCTCACCCTGGGTCTGGCAGTGCCCCTCCCCTGCGGGCCCGGCAGCCCTTTGCCCTCCACTTCCTGCCAAGTCAGGGGGCCCTGACTGGGCCCCTGCCCCCTGCCCAGGCCCTCCTGAGGCCTGGCAGACCCTGAGCACTCACTGAGGAGGGCACCAGGTCTCCCCACCCCTAGCTGGGACCAGGACCTTAAACAGAAAAGAGGTGGCCCCCTGCAGAGCATCTTTGGGGCTCTTCCTCAGACCCCCCAAGCCCACACAGCCTGGCCCTGGCCACCAGTCACAGTGTCTAAGAGCATTACTGTGTGGGGCCCCAGCTGGGTGACCTTGACCAAGCTACCTCCCTCTCTGGGCTTCTGTTCTGTCAAAGAGTCCCCCATGGCTTCCTCCCAGGTTTCCCCTCAACGTTCTCCAAAATTATACGCAAGGAACCCATGCATAAGCAGCTGTGGGGGTGGGGGGGGTCTACAGTGTTTAGGGGGCTGTCCCTGCAGCCCCCAGGCCACCTCTCCCACCCCGCACTCCCCACGCTTCAGCCCCCACCCCCCTCTGGGGGCCAGGTTGGTTGACCCAGGCCTTCCCAGGCCACCAGCCCTACGAGTTAATGATCACAGGCCTTATCAGAGCCTTTTGCTGTTTATAAATTTATAAAACAAAAGAGAAATAATAACGCCCGTGGGTAATTAGTAACCAGGTCAGCTCTGCTGAGGAGAGGGGAGGCATTGGCTCAGACCCACCCAGTTCTCCAGGAGATGGGGAGTCAGCCAGGAGATGGGGGTACATAGCCGGGAAGCCTCTAATGGCACCTACTGGTGGGGTGCGGGGGCTAAGGCTGTCCTGGGAAATGTGCGCAGCTCAAGTCCCAGATTCTGTCTCCTTCAGGTAAGGAAGACCTGGGTTTTCCTGGCTGAATTCTCGAATCTCTGGGGCAGCCTGGGGAGCCCCCAAACCCCATCCTCTGCGTCCCCCCCTCTGTCGTGTTTCCCAGCCCAGAGCCTCAGCCTGAGCGCTTAGCAGGGAAGTTAGGGTTTGGGGAGAGGAAAGGGTTGAGACGGGTGAAAGTTCCCACCACCCTCTGGCTCTCCTGCTGTTGCCCCCTTTGTGGAGCTCCCCGGGGCATGTCCCCACGTCCCAGGCTCTGGGCTGAAAGCCTTGGCTCTCAAGGAACTGGGGACTCTGCAGAGAGCAGCTTGGGGAGGCTCCAACCCCAAAGCAAGGACCCCCCGACCAGCTCTCAGGGGCACTGACCCCTTCGCCTACGGGGAGGATAAAGCTGCGGCTCCTAGAGCTCTGGACTGGGGGCAGCTCAGGAGGGGAGGCTGGGGCGGGGGCCTTACTGCAGCAGGGTCTCCACCACGGCTTTCTGGTGGGCCGCCTCCTCGGGGCTGAGGTTCTCCAGCTCTTTGAGGATGGGTGGCGTGAAGTCTTCTCCATCATCATCCGTCTCGTCCTCGGAGCCCCGCGTCTCCCCCAGCCCATTGGGCAGCTCGGCCAGCTCCCCGCGACCACCGCAGGCCTCCCCTTTGTCCAGGGAGCCATCTCCAGCCAGCAGGTAGGGTCCCGGCTCACCCAACGCCTGGATCAGCGCCTCTTTGCTGAGCCCCGACTCCAGCAGGGCCGCCAGGAGCTCGGTCTGCAGCTGGCTCAGCTTAGAGACCATGGCTCTGCCTCCACTGGACCACGCGAGCCCGGGCCACCAAGCTGGCCGCCTCCCCCACCGCGTGGCCTGCCTACTTACCGGCCAGCCAGCAGGCGGGCACGAGCCAGGCTCCTTGCATCCACTGCCCCCCAAACCCCACTAGCCAAGCCCCGTGGGCACCCCCAACCCCCTACCCTGGCCCCAGCGGCCGGTGAATCAGGGCCCCTGCCCGCTCTGTTTACATTGGAGCTGGGGAAATTCTCCAAGGTTCATATTTATCCGTGTGCTTAACGAAGGGGCTGAACTTTGGACTTCAGCCCTGCAAAGCACAGGCCTCATGGCAGGCAGAGGACAGGGAGCGCGGCCTTCACTCGGAATGGCTGACAGAGGGTGGGGGAGGCAGTGGTGAGGCCCAGGGCGGCTGGGATGGCAGGTGCCAGGAGCCGGGGAGGCCTTCGGGAGAGCAGCGTCAGGTCCCCCCTGCAGAGGACCTGGTAGGGGGTCAGGCCTAGGCAGGAAAGCAAAAACAGGAGGTGTCCGGCAGGAACAGGAGTGGTGGGAAGTTCCAGGCAGGTGGGCCAGCTCTCCTCAAGGGCAGAGCTAGTTCACAACCATCTTGGGAATGGCCCCACCCTAGCCCCAGCACAGCCTCCACGTAGTGAAGACGTGTTCACTTGTCTACTGTGTGCTGGGTCTGTGACGTGCAGCGTTATCTCCCATCACCCCGATAGCTGTAGGTGCTACAGAGACTCTCCCCATTTTACAGGGGAGGCAGCCCAGGCTCTGAAGGGACAAGACTTGAGGGGTGGGAATGGGGTGAAGCAAGTGAGGGCCTTGACTGGGGTGAAAACATTAAGTGCACCGAAAAACTCAGTCATCAAGAAAAACAATATGCTTACACAATACATTGCAAAATCAAAAGAAACACAAAAGGATTTAATACAGACATCCGCACAAAAACTGGCTCATGTCTGTTCATAGCAGCATTTGTCATGATAGGCCCAAAGTAAGAAAAGCACAAATATCCATCAACAGATGAATGGATAAAGAAAATGTAGTCTAGCCGTATGGTGGACTATTATTCAGCCATAAAGAGGAATGAAGTGCTGGCATGGGCAGCAACATTTGTGAAACTTGAAGGCATTTTGCTGAAAGAAAGAAGCCATAAAAGACCACACAGTGTGTGATTCTATTCTAGGAACTAGCCAGCACAGGCGAATCCATAGAGACAGAAAGCAGGTAAGCCATTGCCAGGGGCTGGGAGTGGGGAGAAGCGGGACTAGCAGCTTGATGGGTACGGGTCTCTTTGGGGATGGTGAAAATGTCCTAAAATTGATTGGGAGAATGTTATGCCAATCCATGAATGTAATAAAAATTACCAAATTGTGTACTTTCAAATGGGTTGGATTTTATGTTGTATGAGTCAATTAAAAAATAATATTTTAATTAATGCAAAAAACTTGTGATGAACAAACTATCAAAGATTTTTAGAGAGGCTCCAGGGCTGACTTACCTCCCTTCTAATTCCAGCCCTGGCAAGACCCATCACTCACACACCCCTACCCACCTCTTCCCTCTTGCAATCAGAGTCTTAACAGAATCCCTGAATTGATGTCCTGCACCCCCAAACTGGGGGTGTGCCCAAGAGTAGACAGGGTAATGCTGAGGGACTGCCCCCAGGTAGGAGCATTTCCTGAAGGTCTGCATTTCTCCCGGGGCTGCAGAACCAAGGTCATGCTTGGCAAAGGAGCAAGAGAGAAGATGCGGTTGGCCACAAGACCCTCTCTGCAGCCCAGCCAGGCCATCAGAGAGGAGAGAAGGCTGGTTAACAATGATAGTGGAGCTCAAGTCCACCTTCAATGTCTGTCTGTTCCCCTACCTGCTATTCCAGCACCCTGACCTTAAATTATGTCTTCACACACTCCCCTTATAACATACACCACAAGTGTGCTGCCCAGTACAGAAGCCACGAGCCACCTGTGGCTACTGAGCACAATCAATGCCACAGATTTAAATGACAATATTTTGGAAATACAGGGTGAAATGTAAATTTTTTCAAATTTTCAAAATTAAAAATTAGAAACATTTATTGCACCTTTTTCTTTTTCCTGGCTGAGTAATATTCCATTATCTATATGTATACACCATTCTGTATTTTAAAGTGATCACCTGTTGCAACAGGAACATGACGAGGGACACAACAGTTGTGGAGTAGGCTTGCAAGGCAAGACTCTGCTGCTTGAGCAGAAATTTTTGTGCCATTTATTGAAAGCACACAAGCTAGTAAAAACTGATCATGCGACAATGGTATGAGGAATAAGGTCCAGGACAAAGGTTTACGAGGAGACATTGTGACCATATGTCAAGAGACATTTGCATCAGCACAGTTTATGTTGATGTTCACACAGGCAGAGTTGTCCTGAGACCACCATGGAGATAGTCACATAATCTGGTCAACAGCAGCCTAGGCATCCCCAGGACTGCCTCATGACACAGGCTATTGTTCATCCGCAGTCAACCAGGAATACTTTGCTGTGATTTGCAGATAGCAAATAGTTCACAGTTGCCCATGAGAGGTCAGCTCATAGGAACCCACAATCACCTGTTTCTTTTATACCTTTTTAATGGCACTACCAGAAATTTTTCATTACTTATGTGTTCACATGCTACTTCTCTAGAACAGCGCTGCTCTATAATGTTTGTGTTATGTTTATTATATAAGGTCAGTCTTCCTTGGCTAGAATGTAAGCTCTGTGAGGGCAGGACTTTTGTCTGTTTCATTCACTGCTGTTTTCCTAGTGTCTAGAATATTGCTAGTTGATACTCAATAAATATTTGTTGGATGAACGAGTCACTAGACTTCATTGCACACAGGACCTGTATTCTTAGCTCTGCGCTAAGCTTTAGTAATCATCTATATAATCCTCAAAACAACTCTATGAAGTAGGCACTGTTATTATTCTCATTCTGCAGAGACAGAAACTCAGAGAGGCTGAATGACCTGCTGAGTCTCCTGGAGGTGGGCAGTTTGTGCAGGATGATGCTGGCAGCCACCCCTTCCTCGGGGGGGGGCAGTGGAACCCCATTTTTCCTCCAGTGCTTTCATTTTCTTCCAAGGCGTGCAGCTTTGAAGTCAGGTGCCTCCATTATCTATATGTATACCCCATTCTGTATTTTAAGATGATCATCTGGTTTTGGGGGGTTTTTTACCTTTTTAATGGTACTACCAGAAATTTTTAATTATGCATGTGTTCACATGCTACTTCTCTAGGAAAGCAGAATCCTCAAATCCAGGGTAAAGGCCACAGGGATGCAGCTACTGTCCCCTTAGGGTTGCTTGGTTCTCCTGCTTATGCTTTCTAGCCAAAATGTTGCTTGCTGCCTGCACTGTCCGTTGGTTACTTTCACCTGGAAGGAGGATCCAGAGGGAACAGGCAGGATAGGACCTGCATTCTTTGCACAACTCGTGGACTCACCACCAGGTCCTCCAGCAGCCAAGAGGCTGAGCTGGTGACTCCAGGGCAGAGGGTGGATACAGTTGGTGGGAAGCAGGAGCAGCAGCAGCCAGGCAGAGTATCCAGGGAGTCCAGGGACAGATGCACCTCCAAGGCCCAACTTCCACTCTCGTAGGACATACAGAGGTGACCAGCCCAGCGCCCTGTGGTGGGGAGCCCACTGATGAGTGAGAAGGGCCATCAGGAGCCTGACCCTACTTCTCCACCATCAGAAGGGGCTCATTCCAGCCCCAGCTTGCACCTTGACGCAATCAGGGGACAAATCCGAATTAATCTGACATCAGGAGAGAGAGTCTGCCATATTCACCAGGCCCCAACCCACCAGTTTTCAAAGCTTTATTAGTAAAGCAGCCTTAGGAAATATGCTTCCCAGTCAATAATATGAAGAGCTGGGTCCAGGGCACACGCCAAGCAGTGCCAAAGAGGACTTTGTCCACCTGCTATTCTTTGGGCTTAAGCACGAGCTGGTTTCTTTCTGGGCGCTTTTTACTGACTCATTCTATGAGCGGTGTGCCTGCCAACTTGAATGCAGATGCACCTTAAGTGGGGCTGGCTCGGACTCTGCTAGCAACCCTCATTCTGTCTTAATGCAGGCAGCCCCTCCCAGACCATGAACACACCAGCCCGAGTTCAAGGATTTTATCAGCTGCAGAAGAACACAGGGGTCTTTCAGGTTAAAGTGGTTCTCCTTCCAGAGTTCCTCAAAGGCCTGTAGGGATTTCCATGCCCCAAGGCAGAATTCCTTCTACTGGAAGCGCCAAATATCTGCCCACAGCAGGATGGGGTGATAATTCCCACCCCCTCCTCCCACCCCTCTGGCTATAGAGGGAGAAGGGGCTGGGTGTCCACACTGAGCTGAGGAGTTGGTTTTTTTTTTTTTCTTTTAATAAGATGGCATTAATTTGCCACTGATTTACAAAACTATATTGATTTCAGGGCGACCTCTTCAGCGCTAAGTGTGTAAACATCCCCTCACCCAACACCAATGTTTGAGTAAAGCCCTTCCCACCTGCAGGTTGGCACCTCCTCTCTTCCCTCCCACGCCCTCCCCTGCCCCTCTGGAAACTGTTACATTTTTCCTAGAGTCTGAGAGTCAGAGTCATTTTTGTTGTGATTTGTTTGCTTTGGTTGTTATAGTCTAAATTCGACCATTATCCTACATTTTCTGCCATTTCACATAACACAATCCCGCCCCAGTTTCATCCACTTTGGAACACAGGGCAAGATTTCATCTTTTTTATAGTCAAATAGTACTCCACTGAATACACATACCACGTCTTTATCCATTCATCTGGGGTATTGATGTCGTTGCCACATCTTAGCTATTGTGCCAGTTTGCCTTCTTAGAAGCACATAGAACCTATCTTGAATTTCACTACCCCCTACACCACTCCCAACCCCCTGCTAGCTGGCCTCAAGCAAGTGAGTTAATCTTTCTTGACTCATCAATAAAATAGAGATGCGGATCTCCTGGGTCGATTAAAACCACTTTTTGTAAGAGCATAATGCAGACATTTCAGATCTTCTGGGTTCTAGACGACACTAACTGATCTGACTGCATAATTGAGGCTACCAAAGGGAGAGACTGGAGGTGAGGGATAAGAGAGGAGGGGTCCTAGGGACTGTGGTAGAGGTTAACGGTGGAGTAACATACATCTGAAAAGGTGTGAACCTGTACCCTAAACCATACTCAGTGTTGTAAACTGACATTTCCTTAAAACAAATAATACAATTTG